GTGGAGTTTCTTGTTTTTGTTCGCATCCCGCTTTTTCAATATTTAGGCATTCATTGGTTGATCACCACTTCCCCATCTTTGCTTCTAATTTCCCATTTAAGTTTTTTTTTCTCTCTCTTTTTTTTTAAATATTTTTTTAATTGATAAAATGTGGAAACTTCTATCCCCATTCCGATTTTTTTTTAAAACCAGCGCCTCGCTGAGACATGGCTACATGTAGCTGCATGATGTTTCTAATATTTGTCGGTATGTTTGTTGAAACTTCGATCCTTTTGATACGCACAATGCTGATGTTTCTCAGGAAATGAAACTGAGAATACAATTTGAGGAAAGTCTTTAAAAATGCGAAGATTTTTATTGCTGATCACAGGTGCCCTTCCAGCAGCAAACTGAGTTCATGCCGTTGTATCAAATTGAAAAGAGGATAAAATAAGAGTGTGAACAGATTAAATGCTAAACATGTTATAAAGAACTACGCATGCTAACTCTCGATTCCCGCCTACATTTTGTTACCATTTAGTTCAATATAAATGACAATCTGGCCATTAAAACTTGTTTGAATGTAAGGAAGAGTTCATTAGTGATTGATTAATAATTTTAAGACCAATGTCAACAAGTAAATTGCTTTTATTTCCAACGCTTTTCATAAGGGGGTGGGGGTAGAAAATTTTATTCATTGAAATCAGGCTTTTAAACATCACCAAATTTTCAAATACTCAGGGAAATGGATTAATGATGCTTCAGTTAAATCTTTCCGCATGTTTAACTTATGTAAAATTCAACATATAAGATTGAAAAAGAACATTTTATATGTAATCTCATTTAAAATTGGTAATAAAATGACAGTTTTTAAAGCTGTTTTTGTCAGTTAACATACCCCCCCCCCCCAAGCCCCCCACCCCCAACCCAGTGAAACAACGAAAGCTTTGGTATGAATTTAATTGTGAAATAAAAATTCATAATATCTGTAAAAGGATTTTTTTGTTTCACGGAGGGTGGGAGTGTTTTAAAAATATTTTCCTTTTTACGCTTATTTCTATGGTGAAAAAGACAAGTTTTATCAAAATTATAGAGTTATCTCTTTTTGTTTTCCCAAATAAGCTATGTTTTATGAAAATTCACATAAATATTTTTTTATCAATATGAAAAATCATTTAAATATGTGAATTTTTGAAAATTGACTTTGAGGTAGGCGGCAGAACAATGCCATCGTTAGCAGTTCTTTTATGCATGTATTATCAAACTCGTCTAAATATTTGAAATCTATGAAAACATCGCTTGAAAGATAGAAAATCTCCCATCAAACAAATCATCTTATAAACTAAATATTAAAACATATTATTTTTTTTCTTTAGCTGATCACACGTAGCAAGCTGAAAAGTTCCGACGAACAAGTTTGAAATCGAGATTTAAGGTTCTTCATCTATTCACCCATATAAAATTTTGCTTTAACACCCTACTGAATTTACAAAAGAAATCTGATTTATATATTTGAAATGCAAACAATTTCAGTATACTTTGAGAAGCCAAATTTTACAGAAATGGTCTTTCTATACATGTATAAAGGAATATCAGTGAGAGCTATTTCTCTTATTGTTGAACCTTAAATAATTTGAATCTTCAATATCCTATCTGGAAGTCTTGAATCTATCTCATGTTTTTGAAGATTCTACCGGAAATATCTTGAATTTTCAATTTTGACTCTTGAATTTTACTGAAAAAAGTAGCTCTATTGACCGTCGTATTGTGTTTTGTATTCATCTGAAACTTTTGATGAAAATCGTTACATGTACTATGTTACTGGAAATAAATGTCGAAGTTAAACTGTGTTTTGTCCCGGACCATCAGTTTTAATATGCACACTGTTATTAACAACTCAGATTACGGTTGATAATCCGTGACCTTAATAGAAAAAAATTATTAATTTAATGGATGTGAATAAAAAATACATTAATCAGTTAAAGGCATTATTAATTTTTAGTGTCATTAACACGATATAATTATAATATTGTAACTAAGCCCTGTAAATTTTCTATTCTTTAACTTTAATCATTTAACTTTTGGTGTCATTAACACGATATAATTGTAATATTGTAACTAGCCCTGTTAAGTTCGAAGTCTTCAACTTTAAGGAAGCTTTAAACCCTGCTCAAGAGTTCTTATTTCTTGGTAGTTTTGTGCAAATAGAGTGTTCTGCCCTTTCAAGTAAAACGACTTGAAGGAAACTTTACAGTAAATGACATAATTTGAAATAGATTAAAATATGTTTTACATTATATTAGACCAAGATGAAGCAATTGAACACACTATTTGCATGAAACAACAGCCGTTTCTGTTCACCAATACAGTACTTGAATGTCTCCTTTTGAAGACCCTAAATTTCTCGAAGTCCAAAAACCATTTAGAGCTTCCTTGAAGTCGAGAATAAAAGCACTATGTCAATTTCTTTGAAATACAGATTTTATGTATTTCCTTGAAAATCTGACAGAATAGTCACAATGTATAAGGGGATTTAGTTGGTTGATAAAAGTCAGTGTCGGAACAATAACTTAACTATGTCTAATACCCATCACCCTTTACAGAGTAAAACAAACCTTGCATCCTATGCATCGTAGTCAGGAACACTCAAATTGCATTTAAGGGAATGGAAAACATTTATGACAAACGGATGGAGTATACATGTATATAGATAGTATCAAACAAAAGACTTCAACTCCACATTTAGATATATCGACGATTGTCAATTAACAATGGTTATTTCCATTCTTATGTCGATACGATATATGTATCCCGGTGAGCTTGAAATAAAACATACCACAGAGTCTGACACATTTGTTTCATATTTGGATATTTTACTAGAAAAAGACGTTAATGGTAATCTAACAACCAACTTTATGATAAACGTGATGACTAACTTTTCAATTGTCAACTTCCATAGCTTACTTATGCAGCAATTTACCTTCGTCACCTGCATACGGGGTTTATATCTCTCGGTTGATTCGATACGCAAGAGCAGGCTCTACGTATGAGCAATTTCTAAACGAGGTAAGTTATTGACAAACAAGTTCAGTGATGAAACAAGAATATCAGCAGTCTCGTTTAAATTCGTCATTTCGTAAGTTCTATGGTCGATATGTAATGACCTTGTCAGCAAATACAATTTATCATTAAGTCAAATGCTGACTGACGTGTTTTATACTAATTGTTAGGCTATTATTTACACACTGAATTGTCGACGAATTTTTCCGTTTTTCCGATCATGACAAGGAGCACACGGCGGGCGTGACCGGTCGACTGGGGATGCTCACTCCTCCATGGCACCTGATTCCACCCCTGATGTTTTAGAGGTCCGTGTTTGCTCTGCTCCAAAACTTGTATTGTTTAATGGACTTTTGAGCTTGAATACTGTTCGTTATCTCCATACATTTCACTTAAAGTATACCGCTACCTTCATTCAGATTCAAAGATGATGATACTGTTTCCCATAGTAGGGGACTCTCAGTAAAGAGAATTATTTTTCCTTTCAACAAAAATCTATTGAAAGACGAACTCGTACGACTGTCCAATTTTCTCTGGCCTTGACAGGGTAGATTGATTAAGTTTCTCAGTCCAGTAATTGTTTGTGTAAATTTCTATCAACAAGAAACACGGTAATCTGATTGTTCCCTACGCTTACGAAGGACAAGTTGATTATTGTTAAAGAGAAATACATGGAAAAAATAAAATGTTGGAAATGTCAGAAAATATAGTGTAACGAATCCAACCTTCCATTATTTCTCTCTTATTCTGTTGGAGTGATTGAATGAATGTGCCTTTTTCTGTTTACACTCTTAAGAAAAATAAATTAGAAAATGTTGCCTTTTAGAGGATGACGGAGAATTTTTACACAATCGATACAGAAATAAAAGAAGACAACATAGAACATGAAAGGTGTATCAAAAGTTAACATGCAATGAAAATCTTTCTTTTTAGTGGCTTTAAAGACTGTGGTTACAATTTCCTTGACTTTTGATATAAGATGGTCGTTAAAGGCAATGTCATACAACCTAATCAAAAGCTCAGCTATAGTTGGAAGTACATTTGTATTAATTATTCTTTTGTTTGATTTCAAAGCATGAGAAGAACATATATACTCTGATGATTTGGTATAGTGACCTTGTCCTTTGAGATTTTGAATCAAGGTCAATGTTATGTCACAATACATATAACTTTGTAAGTACACCTATTCTGTACAATATGATATTTTTTGGATGAGAATATGAACAAATCTTGTACCAACGATCTGAAGGTCGAATAAACCAACTGACGGACAGACAAAAAAATTGTTAACCCTAACTCTTAAAAAAATTATCTGGATCAAAATTTGTTTTCCATTTTCACACTCGAAAATGAAAAAAAAAACCGTCTTTTTTATGTTAAAGAAAATGAAACTCATGTTTTATGAAATAGAAAACAATAAAATTGATACAAACGGTTTCGGGGACTTTTTTTTCCATTATCGCCTTTGCATGATCAGTTGTAGTATGATTGTATTAATCTCAAATATCAGTTGTAATTTCTCTGATGTGTGCGACTGTGGCAAATTGTTGACTTTTACAAGTATCTTATATCGAAACTGTGACGCTTATTCTAAGTGTCTTTGGAAAAGGGGAATGTAATTTACTTGTGGCTTTATAGACCATCCACGGGGGATCGAGCAAGATTCAAAAAAGAAACAAGATTCAGACTTCTAGGATTTAAAACTATTGATCCCTGCGTTAACGAGTCGTGTTTTCCCATGAAGATCTCTAATTACCAAAGACCCTGTATTCCATCGACGAAAGCTTTTATTAGAATCTCACACTATGAAATAAGTTTATAGGGAAATAAAGTTTTAAAAAGTTAAGCACAATATGATAAGAGAAAAGAAAAAGTTCCCGGACTTCTTGTATTGCCTTACTCACCATTCAACTTTACGGGATCGATAAGTGCATGCGCGTCACTCTCCTCGTTTGGTACATATTTTTTACCTGGACGATCAGATCTGGGAAGGAAAAGAATGAATCTAGAAAATTGGAAATTTAAGTTTATTTCTGTTTTTGTATTAATTGGGATTTCACATTCAAAACGGGTAAGTATCAACATTTGATTGTTTCAAAATTTGATTTGTTTTGAGATATACAGGTAGAATTACTATACAGTTGATGTATCCAATAGCTCGAAAATTGGGGAAATTTTTGTCTCCTCAATTCTGTCTCTTTATAAATTAATACCAATTTTATCAAGATCTGCACCCAAAGAAAAAAATATTGCTCGCTCATCAATTAATGTCTGAGATTGATGTAAATGCAAGTATTTAAACAAAACAATAATATTTTCAAAATACATATTCCCGTTAAACTTGTGCAAGTTTTTCCCCTTAACAAAATTATTGTATCGGTACAAAATTCAAGAGTGTTTGATAAAGAAAATTCTGTGCAAATAATGTGTTTTATATTGAAATTCTAAGTATTGAATTCCGGTCGAAATGAACTGACTTCAAATGATACAAAAATAATATTAAAATACAAAGAGACCAATAATTGTACTCTGATATCTGAACACAGTAAATTAAAATGACAACACGAGCCATATCAGGACCATTATGGAGTAACATCAATATTTTCTGTGAACAATCACTAATTACGAAGCCAATTAAGTACGTTTTTCCTCCTTATAATGACCAAATAATGAGACAAAGATCTGAAAAAGAACATGAGGCGAAAATTAATTTACATGTACATCCTTGTGTTGCATGACTTAAAATGAATGAAGGGTCCAATATCGTGAAAAATACATACCTGAACTATTTTGGACTAGTTTTTCATATCATGCACACATAAAGCAGATAAGCTGGAACATAGGAACCCATTCAGATAAAAGTAAAAGAATGTAAGGGCTGTGACTTCTAAATGATAGTGAAAACGAACAATTCTCAGCGTACAATACAAGCGGGAAATATTAATTTGTATTTGATCATTTGTAAGATACTTTTTATATCATGCCATAAAACTGTCATATAAACTCAAGGTATACATCCAAAACACCTCATGTAGGTGTAAAGCAGAGGTTTTAGTGATGAGTTTTGAACCATAGTGTACAATGAATGTCGACTCTTTTGAACAATTTCAGATTTGCAAGGTGTCAATTTAGTATATGAACTGAGAGATACATTTTAATTAGTGCAATGAAATTCTAAATACCATAATAATCACGTTTTATTTGCCCTTCCTTGTCAAAACGACTTACAGTCCTAAAGCAACGTCTATTTGTGATTTTTATACCGGTATACTTCAAATCAAATAGTTACACTGGGTATCATGACATTTCCATTGGTCGGTGCCAAGTACCCATAGGCCCAAAGCATGGAAATAAGTTGCCAATTTGAACTATCTTTTGAACAATTGTCAAAATGACTTTGCGATCTATTTACCCCTTAATTATGTGATCTCGGAGTCTTTGAAGTAATATTTGTATGAACTTGGCTACAGCCTCATCATAAACGGTATCAACATTGTATAATAGTCCCTTCTGTGTGCGGTATGTTGTTGCCAAATCGTTGTTAATCAGACAATTATAAGCAAAATTACCAAAATTCTCTCCTTCAACGTCCCTTGGAGTAGAACGGAAATCTCCGGTGTTATTAAACGGATAGTATCACGTCTTGTACAATCGTGTATCGATCAAATGAGATTGATTAGATTAGGGGAATATACCCACATTCAGTCATAACACTGACAAAAGCTAATAAATTTCATTTCTTGGACAGCCTGCTGATGACACTCAATGTCTGCCATGCTGCATGCTGATTGGTGTACATTAATGTTTTATATTCAGTCTCCGAGGACTAGGGATATTTTCATTTAGTTGTCCATTAGCTTGGAGTAGACAGGTCATCTTCTGAAGCAAACTTCGATGGAACAGACGTTCGACATCTCAAACAAATTGTGCTTTATTTGTCCATAGGTCAATATTAAACGTTTTCTGAGGAGCTTTACGATGAGAACGTGGTTAATAGTACTATATTGGTGCATTTAGCTTTATTCTTTTTCCTATGTTTTCCCCGAGATTTATACGACTAATTTACTTTTTCATGTAAATATTTCTATAAAATTATAGACGTGTAACCCAATAAATTAATTAATCAATGAAACAAAGTGAAAGAATACATGTATATAAATTGTTATAAAAGACAAGGGGATCGACCCATAATTAAATTGAACAAGTCAGCTGTTACTTATACACGGTGTTGAAATTATTGAGCTTCATTCAACAATAGCTGCAGGTTTGTAGCTCACTGGTCTGGGAAAAAATGGATATGAACGACCATATCCCATTTTTTTAAGACCAGTGAGCTACAGACCTGAAACTAGCCAAGAGGCTAAGAAACCCTATAACAACCATGGAACTCATGAAAAAAGTCATCTACTTTATCTTAAAAAGCTTTGATTATTCTGTAATCCAGAAAAGGCTGACAGAACCATCCATTGATGTAGTTAAAATTCTTATGACTACATAAGAGGAATATCATACGTATATGATGGTATCGGTAAAGACATTATTCCAAGACATCGCTTTAAATAACAAAGGAGAATTTATGTATAAATCTTGACTTTTTGTGTATGATTATGCAGCATCCTACCACACGGAAAGTAACTAATATTCGAAACTGCATGAAATATTATTATAAGACATGGATAAGCTGTTAAGCGATGTCAACCGAGTACTCTTTTTATAACCTCGATCTTTGACTGTGGTGTGGTCTCAACTGTTTCTTCCTGGAGCTGCTATAGCTTCCAAGTCATAAATAATAAACGTATCACGACAAACAAATCCAGAAAACCTAATATTTTTTAACAAAAACATGTCATTTTACCCGTGGGATCAGCCACCACGGTAAAAGAAACTTGTGGAATAACGAACAGTTTATCCATAACAATACATCAATTTCAGAAGAAAAAAATTATCACGCCAACTTTAAAGTATAATTATCGATTGTAAAGGCGCTTTGGTAATGGGGATCCCATTGCGTTATAAAACAAGGCCAGTTGACATTTAACTTGTGCCAAAATAGATGAAGACTTGCGGGACGCAATGTACTTCTTGAATCAAGGAAGTCGTTTGTCACAGGCTCTTTTTGTCACTTGTCACTTCTTATTATATGCACTCTTAAAGGTTCTTTCTTTGGTCTTTGGACACATAGGATAAAGGTTACAAATAAGTCTGCGTCTGATAAAACTACATTCTGCCGAAGAATGCTTGCATTTTGTGTTGTCTGCCGAAGAGTTCTTGCATTTTGTGCCGTGAAAACCTAATTCTAGTTAGAGTTAATCAAATGAGACCCTATGAATATAATGTCTCTGGGAATTGCAAACTTTCAACAATCATAAATCATTTATATATACAGTGTACATTTTAATAGAATATTGGAGGGTGTGTATTGTGTGCAGAATTAAAATAATAAAAATTAACTGATTAATGCAAGTTACTTGAACTGCGAAATAAGAACTGCTTTTTATTAATAACTGTTTAACTTTCTCTGGAGCAATTCAGAAATGTGTAATACATGTGTATTGGTTTTTGTCATAATTTTTGTCGTTGTTGTTTCAGTACAAGTACTGCGGGGAGGGATGCTGTCCTCACGAATTCTGTGCTTATCATAAAATATGTTATCCCATCATCCATTGCGATCCTACGTGTCCGGACGGCAGCTGTCAAAATGGACTATGTTTTCCCGCCAAACCGTGCACGAGGAATTTTGAATGTGGTTTTGCAGAAACGTGTACATTCAACTACAACCTCGGTTACACAACTTGCCAGTATAACCTTAACATTGGAGAAACTCTTTGCTCTGATCGAAATGGAAATGCTGCATTTAACCCTAAACCAGATGAAAGCCCATTTGTCCACAAAAGTTTTAACAATCAGGATAGTTTTTGAGACTTACCCTCACCAGCTAAAGTTTTCAATAATTTCAGTATATAATCACAATGCCTTTGAACTTTTCTCGTTGAATCGTAATATACTGAGTTTAGAAATATTTCTTTTCAGGAAGAATATTTTTTTTTTTAAAAACTTTAAATTTTTACCTCCATTTTAATTCACATTTCAGAGCACGTTTTAAGCAATCAGTGAGTCCATAGAATGGATCAAAAACAAATCAAACAAGAAATCTGTCACATATATATCCTTTGTGTCAAAAAGCATATTCATTCATTCCAAACAAAGCCAGTTTCAGATAGAGCTTTTCTATTTTTATGCCCCGTAATCGAAGATTCGGGGGTATATAGTTTTTGCCCTGTCCGTCCGTCTGTCTGTCTGTTTATGTTTGTCCGCAAAAACTTTAACATTGCCCATAACTTTTGATTGGTTGGAGCTATGACTTTCATATTTTACATGTGTGTTCCTTGTGACAAGACCTTTCTTTGGGTACCTTCATATTTGACCTTTTGACCTTGACCTTGGAGATTGACCCAGTTTTGCAAAATTTAAACCATCTTTAACCTTGACCATTACTTTTGAACAGTTGGTGCTAGGGCTTTCATACTTCACATGTGTAATCCTTGTGACAAGACCTTCCTTTGGATACCAACAATTTTGACCTTTTGGCCTTGACCTTGGAGTCAGTCAACTTTTGAAAAACTATAACCTTGGCTATAACTTTTGTTGGGTTGGAGCTAGGACTTTCATACTTCACATATGTAATCCTTGTGACAAGGCTTTTCTTTGGATACCAACAACTTTGACCCTTTCACCTTGACCTAGGAGTTTGACCTATTTTTGAAAAACTTTAACCTGCCTAAAACTTTTGAACAATTGGTGATAGAGCTTTCATACTTCACATGTGTAATCCTTTTGACAAGACCTTCCTTTTGTTATCAACAACTTTGACCCTTTGACTTTGACCTAGGAATTTGACCTACTGTTGAAAAACTTTAACTTTGGCCATAACTTTTGAACGATTGGTGCTAGGGCTTTCATTTGTTCACATGTGTAATCCTTGTGACAAGCCCTTCCTTTGGATACAAACAATTATAGCCCATTGACCTTGACCTTGGAGTTTGACTTACCTTTTGAAAACTTTAACCTTGACCATAACTTTTGAATAGTTGGTGCTAAGACTCTCATACTTCACATATGTAATCCTTGTGACAAGGCCTTACTTTGGATACCAACAACTTTGACCCTCTGACCTTGTTCTTTTACCTACTTTTGAAAAAATTTAACCTTGGCCATAATTTTTTGAACAGTTGGTGCTAGGGCTTTCATATTTCACATGTATTTCTTGTGAGAAGGCCTTTCCCTGGGCACCATTAATTTTGACCATTTGACCTTGATGTTTGTCTTAGGTACTTTTGAAAAACTTTAACCTTTTCCATATCTATTCAATGGTTGCTGCTAGGGCTCTCATATTTCACAGGTATATTCCTCGAGACAAGATCTTACTTTGGGTATGAACATATTTGACTTGCATTTGAGAAAGTTTAACCTTCACTATAAGTTGCCATACGGGGGCATCAGTGTTTCACAAACACACCTTGTTTTCATGGTAAGCGAATAATTTGCAATCATTTCCTTAAATTCACTGCAGGTTTGATTTTTTCCCCCAAAGCACACTCAAATATACCTTAAAGAAAATATTCCATTGAATCTAAGAATACTCTGTTAAACTCAGTGTCATTTACTGATCTAATTTAGATCATTTTCAGGTAATCTTTGAAAAAAAAATATATAGGCTGTTCATTACTATATAGGTTTGTTTGACTGTACTTCTAGTAACATTAAAAAATCTGAAGCTTTTAGTTTAGTATTTATTATCATTTAGAAACATTATTACTATATCATAGTACTCATGTTTTGATATACCAAGTACCATAATCAACACTTAATAATAAATGTACAATCATGTAGAACTGTAATTGATAATTTTTTGAAAGAATACAACCAATATGAATGTATGATCTTACACAAAAAAATTAAGATTGACATTTAATTTTCATTTACATGTATATTGATGATGACAATTTTCTTTTGGTTTAAATTTCTGAAATGTCCAAAGTGAATTTGTATATCTTTTTATGTCTCTGAATAACAATTACTGAAAGACCTATTTTGCAATTTGATTTTGTTTCAATGTTCACATGGTATTTTCTTCATGTACACAGTAAAATTCTAAATACAACAGTTTTTGAATTGCTCATTTTTAACACGGCAACATTAAATATTAAGCACTTAACACCATTAGCTACCTAATTGAAAAAAAAATATTGAATGGTAATAATACAAATATTTCAAAATATATAATAGAAATTCTACTACATTGTAGTTGCACTGAAAGATCTGATCAATTTGATCATTAGTAACAGAAAACTTGTCGATAATTTGTTTCAAATTGTTTGATACATGCTTTGAGAAATGATTCAAAGTTATTATCACAAAGTGCAAAAATCCAATAATATGGAATGTTTTCAAAAGTAAATATGATACATGTATCACTTAAGAGTGCCTTTCAAATCACTGAAAACAAATTTGATATCAATTTGATTAAAAGACAGTCACAACCATGCCCGAGACATTAAAAAAAATTAGTACTGTGTGCGTATGAAAATGCAGATAGTTACTGCTACATGTATAAATCAACAAAAGCAAACCAAATTACACAGAAAAAAAAATGATTTCAGAAATCTCTTCACATAACATACTCAACAAGTCAAAAATTCAAACATAATACAAATCTATCTCATAACTTAATATATTTACATACTAGTATATATGTAAATGTCAGTGCACCAATTAATTTGCATTGTAATTGCATTGTCAAGATTAGGCCTGAGGACAATTTTTCTGTTTTGCACTACATCAAAATTTGAAAACCTTTTTGCCAACATAGAAAAGAAACAAACAAACAAAACAAAAATCACACACACAAACACACACACACAAGTTCATGGATAAAAAATATTAAAATATGACAAAAATCAGCCATCTTTATATGTATTTGCGTTATCATAAAAAAGAATATCTCTGGTAGAAAACATTTGTGTTTGTTTTTCAAAAAACCAGGTTGGAAAAGATACCTGTGTACAAAAACAAAAAAAGAAGGAAAAAATTCCTCTGGCCTTAATAACAATTGTACAGCACTATATAAACATTGAAGTATTCTGTACATATGTATACAGTGACATAGATTTAGCAGATACAAATCTAACACAAAGAAATGCAACCTTTCTCCAAACATCAGATATTCTTCAATGAAGTTTTAAGGACTTTTGGGAGAGGTAAGGTTTCAGCAGAATCATTATAATCTAAATGTCTCTTAATGGTCTGGAGACACTTTTCCTGGAGAGTCAGGTATCGACAATATTGCTCCCCTAGTCCCAGCTCTGTTTCTGATGCCGTAGAACTGACAATGGGATATAAACAACCCGAGGCATTGTTCAGTCCTGTAAATGCCACACCCATATATGTTCCATTGACACTGAATGCCAGGGTCCCCTTGTAGAGGTTAAGATGGCATCCAATCACAGTTGTTTTGTCAAAGAAAGGTTCACAATACTGAATCTTTTGGCCTCCATGCCATGTTGTACCTTTGTAAGATAAGCCCCAGCTCTCTTTGTCAAACCCTGTTGAAACAAAAAGAAATGATTAAAACTGTTTTAGTACATATATTTCGTAACAGCTCATGAAAAGCACTGAAAAACCAATTATTACATGTTTTTGGATAATTTGCTAATTCCTTCATTTGTAAACTTTCTCACTCCCAGGGGAAATTAATATATTAACAAATTGTAATATCTGTATTTACTTTAACTGCTATCTTTTTCACTACATACTTCCTGACACACATAAATGCAAACAGCTGATAAGAAATCTGTCATTATTTCCTTAAGTTTATAACTTAACCATTCTCTCAGAGGATATGAAATGACAACCTACACATTAATTTCGATCAAAAACTAATCATTTAAATGGTACCCACCAATAAGGTCTACATATTCATAATTGCTTCTATGTAGAACTGCATTTTCTGTTCCTACACCCACCATCACTGAGGTTCCACATGGGGGCTCCAGGAAAACAATTTCCCAGTAGTGTTCCCCCTCTGTAAACCCCTTTGAGCCTCTAACTCCTGAAATTAAAACATAAATCTATTGGAACCCTTAGGAGAAGAAATTGTACATTTTATATATGAGAAGATAACATTTTTTAGCATCTGGTTAGATTTATGAAAATATGTAATGATGAAGGCAATTGTTTGATCAAGTATGAAAAAATCAATTGAAATGACTTTGAAGTACTATGCACATGTTCTTACAACCGTCCAACACCATGACAATGAAGTACAAGTGTTTATATTTTTGGTAATTGGCATGTGATGAGGCAAAAAGAATCTAGTCTTGTCTCTGTTAATGCCTCAAAACCTGAGAAGCAAAGGATATGCTGTACTAGCTTGTTTATTTTATGTTTGTTTTTGCTCTCTCTATAAATAATAATCTTCACTTGGCAGTAAATTGAAACTTTTCAATAAAGGGACTTCATATTGGACAAGGTCAAGTAAATTGAAACTTTTCAATAAAGGGACTTCATATTGGACAAGGTCAAGTAAATTGAAACTCTTCAATAAAGGGACTTCATATTGGACAAGGTCAAGTAAATTGAAACTTTTCAATAAAGGGACTTCATATTGGACAAGGTCAAGTAAATTGAAACTCTTCAATAAAGGGACTTAATATTGGACAAGGTCAAGGCAACAGTTTCTTCAGAATTCAAGGTCAAAAATGTACAAATATACCATGTTCAAGAATAGATAAAAACTACCAGCAATCACTACCAATTTTTCATCAGAATATATTGATAAAGTCCTATAGTGATTTAATAATTTTCAATGAATAAAAATTGCATAAATATGAATACCAGCAGTTCCTGTGCTTTCATAAATGGGGTCAATATAAAAGAAGGCACTATGTCTGTCTGATGAAAGCAATACTTCTGGAGATTTGGCAACTTGATCCCAAACCCAATATTCTTGTTGAAATCCACTGAACATACTATTCCTACAAGTTAAAGACTTCTGATTAATTCGGTAAGAAATGTATCCAACATGCTCATGCAGGAGTGATCCAACATTAACATATTTACGTAGATTGAATAACATTACATCCTAAGCTTTTCATCCAATTAACTGATTATCTACTTATTTGAGACATATCAAATGCATGCATAATAAACCCTGACTATTTAAACTTAAACGAATGCATGATATTATTATTATATGTTATTAATATGTTATTATATGTTATCAATTTTAAATGCAGGATTAATAACCTGAGAATACTGGATCAGCATTAAACTGTACACAGTTATAAATCTGTGAATTGGATTATAGGCCTACGTATTGTTGGGTTCAGGGGGCATACATTGTACATGAAAACATGTGTAAGTGTTAAAGATGTACGTACACGTTTTATGACAATCATTTATCATGATATATATATATATATATATATATATATATATATATATATATATATATATATATATATATATATATATATCAATCAATCAGGTCTAAAGCCCTGGGCAGCTCTATTTAACATGCATTTGTGAATAATTATTCAATATAAACCTCTTAAATACAAGAAGAATATTATATATATATCGTACCACAGTATAAATTTTTACTTACACGTCCTTTCTCGGCAGCGACTGGAATTCTATTTAATGTTTACTATATTTTCGGTATCGTGCGCAGTGTTTACTTCCAACGTCCTTGACCCGTGATAGATAACACAATCCGAATATATTTACATGTAAACAAGATTTCCATATCGACGTGCATTTAGTCACATAGCTATAACATTAGCTAAAATAATGCTATATTTTGATACATGGAGATTCTTTCTGATCCCCTTAACCACTGTCAAACAAGCTTATTTTGCTTAACTGGAAACGCACGTTGATTGGACATGTGAGGCACACCCCTTGCTAAGTGTTGGTAAAATGGGTAGCAAAATCGCGGCCGATGTCGTATAACGTTTCCTCTGGACAGCTATAGTAATTTTCGTTCTCGTCGAGTGTAATTGGTTCCATTCATTAATTTTGCTTTCTGGCATTTATTTAACATCCTCTGCAGGTTAATCAACTGAATTTAAACTATACTTTACACAACTAGAACTTCCTTTAAAATGATTTGGACATTACTTAAATGAGACTTAAATGTTAAATTGGCTGGAATAAATCCCACAAGCTGGAAAGGCATGGTCACGTGTTGCTGGGACATCCTGGCAAATTCTAAAGCTTCTAAACAAAGACCATAATCGTAAAAGCGTGCAAGCGATGAAATTCTTGAGCTTTGACCTCGAAAGTCAAGGTCAAAGTCATGGACAACTTAAACAACGATGAGAGCGTGTGACCTTTGACCTTGACCTTCAGATCACAAGAAACTTTTGGTTTGATTATTTAAATTGTCGCTCGATTGTAATATCCATCAGCTTATAATCACCTTACTTTCAACTTAACACCCCCACACCGCAGTAGGGACGTAGGATACTTCTTTTAACTTAAAACCAGACCTCTAATCGATACTACTGTACTGCAACCAAGAGCGTCCCCATCCAATCCCACGCCCTTCCTAAGGAAGAAATATTAAATGGAATTTAAAATTTGAAGTCGTTTTTCCTGTCGTTTGATGTTAATGGTGCATGGAAATTAAATAAGTTTAGATTCCTTCTGAATGATAGATCTTGACCACAAAACTGCCTATTTTCGATGTATCGGGTTGAGTGAAATTCATGAAAATTGGGAGCATCATATCTAAAAAAAAAGAAAGAAAGAAAAAAAAAAGCTTGCCAATGGAATTACACTGACTTGTTTACATTATTCATGTAGAAATAATTAAAAAAACAAAACAAAACAGAAATTAGAAAAAATAAGACCCAAACCATAAAAATCTAGAGATGCTTTGATTGTAGTTCCTCTCAAGCGAAACTATATAGGTGTTATTTATACATGTACTTATCTACTCCGTGATCCGGGGGACGCATGATTAAACCATTCAATAAATGAAGCCATTAAAGACGGTCACTGGCAGCAACCTGCGCTCTCCAACTGCTCCACTCCGGTTCTTCTCTCTCTCTCTCTCTCTCTCTCTCTCTCTCTACTGTGCACCTCCAGGATCGTTGGTCTTCCTCGCTTTCTTTTTTTTTTCCTTCAAGAGCCCAAGTTAAAGCAATTCTGATCTGGGAATTAATGTTAACCATTTACAAATGCTAGACTGTTTACCAGCTTGTATAGACGTAAAGACGTATTTTTTAATAGTTAATTGTTTATATTCGTTCGTGAATGATGAATTCGTTAACAATAACTATGTATTTTACATTAATTTTGTAATCAGATTTTGGTCGAGGTGCACTAGATGAAGTTTAGAGAGATAAACTACAATATTAAGATATGCTAACTAGAAATCATATATGTATTATTTCTTTTCGCCATCTTTTTTGTGTAAAAATTGAACTGTTTGACATATTGTATGCATTGAACATGTCTATAGGCATCCTAAAAAAAACAACAAAAAAAAAAAAAAACAACTAAAATCCAGAATTGCACAATTCACATTTATATTTTTCACCCGTCAACTTAATTTATTTACCAAGCAGCTGATTTATCTTTGTATTTAATTTAATATCATCGACATTTACCATTTCGGGAAACAAAAACACCAATTATACCGATGAACATTCTGAAAATTTTGATATAATTTTTTTTTACCCTAACCCTAACCATGCAACGGACGGTCCGGTTCTCTCTTATTACACTCATTATACGCCCGCATGGCGCAGTGGTTAGAGCGTCTGCTCTAGAGTCGCGAAGTAAGGAGTTGATCCTTACGTCGCGGGTTCGAATCCCACTGTGGGTTATGGAGACCGGTCCTTCGGATGAGACCGTATAAACCTAGATATAACGTTCTATCGTTAAAAGGATATTGTCCTACGGACCCGGTTTATAGAAATTCGTTCTGTGTATTGGCAATGTTGCAAAATAAACTCGGACTCTGTGCATTTTCTATGAACAATCCAGAGAGTTCCGAATGTCAACATGGCGTTAAATTTGAAGCGAGGAAAAAACGTTAAGAAAATGAGTTGAATTTTCGTATTTATATGGATTATTTTAGGTTCGCTATGCTAACGCATAGCTCATGGCTTGGTCAATCGAGTGATTTTTATTGACTTTATTGATAAAATTGCGAACTCCTGTGGATTATTCTAACTCGTATAAACCGAAGTCCCGTGTCGCAGTAGGTGCTGGCACGAAAAAGATCCCTCACTGCTCAATGGCCGTAAGTGCCGAGTAAAGGTCAAAATTTGCAGCTCTCCACCGGCAAGTGGTGGCGTCTCCGTATGAGTGAAAAATTCTCGAGAGGGACGTTAAACAACATACAAACAAACACTCATTATACCGGCAAGCGGTAAATCTAGTCTTCACGACTCCCGACGGTCCCGGATTTGGGTTTTTAGTCGATTTCTTTTTTATCTGTTTAAAGAAATTCTTCAAACTTTTCAGGCACATTTTCTAAGTTTAAATGAATTCATTAATACATGAAAACCTTAACAAATTTACGTATTTAATACTGAATCAGCAGTATCACCTGCCAAAAAGCGGTAAATCTAGTACAAGCTCCAGACAGCACAGTATTACGTTAAGCTACAACTCCATATCATTGTTCGTAGGGAAAGTAGTCCCGGAGAATTGACACTGTATGGAGTTTGAAATTTACGGGGTTTTTTTTTCTTGTTGAACTCTTTGCCACATGTTTGTGTCTACGATAGTTATAATTAACTATAATTTAAAAAAAAAGAAAGGAAAAACTTAAAATAAATAAATGAAAAGTTAATTCACGTTTGAAAGAAAAAAGAAGAAAAAAAAATTAAATTAAAAAAAAGGAGGGGGGGGGGGGCTCTGAGGTAGAACCACGTCCACGTCGTAGAGCCTGGGAACACAAACATGTTGCGGCAAAGAGTTCAACAAGAACCCCCCCCCCCGGAAAATGTGGGTTTTTTGTGCATGCAAATTAACTGGCATGTAAATCAGGTTTTCCTCTTATTTTTAAAAAAAATCTATACTTCAATTTGTTGTATTCAATCGCAATTCTACGAAAACATCGATGTCCGTCTTTGGTTTTCGCATTTATAACAGAATACTAGATTTACCGCTTTTTGGCAGGTGATACTGCTGATCCAGTATTAAATAAGTAAATTTATAAAGGTTTTTATGTATTAATGAATTCATTTAAACTTAGAAAAGGTACCTGAAAAGTTTGAAGAATTTCTATGCATCGATAAAAAAGAAATCACCAAAATCCGGGACAGTCGGGAGTCGGGAGGACTAGATTTACCGGTTTCTCAGTATACCAGTCCCTCTTGCACATGCGTTGAATATATTGACAAAATGACAACTTCCGGTTAAAAAAGCTGATACGCTCAGGTTTAGTCGTCTTTAAGTACTGATCTTGTTTATTCGGGGAAGAAAAATGTATTATGATGGAAGTCAGGAATTTGAACTGGAAGAGGATAAATTGTATGATTTATTTTTGGATCTGCACTTGAATTTAAGCAAATAATTCACACCATGAAATTTAAACTTCACCGTACCAGCTGTTTCCCACTTTCAAACACATTATTTTAAGCATAGTCTATGTTTTAAGATATGCACTTTTTGTCTTACTGGGTAGTTTGAAATTAGACAAAACTACATATAGGTTTTATGCAAAAATTCAATAAGATTTTGCCTGTTAAGGCTGTTTGCAAGGAAGTATCCTGTTCGAATTGTAGTCACGTGATAAATGTCCCTCTAAACTAGCCGTGCGTGTCACATGCAAAGAGTGTATATTGCTGTGACGTGGCATATTTATGCATCAATATTATTTGATATTGCAGTTTGAAGAAACCCTGTAAAAATCATGGAAAATTGAATATCTAATATAAGTTGAAATGGATGAATACATTCATGAATATGAATATACACTGGTTCCAACTTTTGATATGGATGAGTATGACCCTGAAGAAGATGGTTATTTTGAATATTTGCCAGAGGATAAAATGTATACTAAAGTTCTAAGTTGTTTTGCATTTATGTTTCAAATTATTTGCGGAAGACTAATGTTCTATAAGCATGATTTTCCCTTTTCAAGATTTAACTTTTTGAATGAAAAGTGCATGGCTGAGAGGTTTTTAGGAGCAAAGGGTGGTTTTTATTTATTGCAGTGCAGATATTTTTCCTTAATTTTTTTCCTTTGAAATTATATAATTCATTGTGTATTGCTATCATATTTTTTTGCATTAAACAAATTTCAGTATATAAATGACAGAAGTAAATATAATTAATTTTATTTGACATGTTCGTGATATGCACACAGAAGAAGCTCTGCATAAGGTATATGCTTCACTAAAATGACATTTAATTTTTAGGGGTATGACAGTGACCTCTGGAGTGGTCACACTACAGAAGGACTCCCAGAACTTGATAGGTATCAGTATTGGAGGAGGGGCACCTCTCTGTCCCTGTCTATATGTGGTGCAGATCTTTGATAACACTCCTGCTGCCAAGGATGGAACCTTAGCTTCTGGGGATGAGATTGTGGCAGTCAATGGACAGACAGCCAAAGGTCGTACCAAAGTTGAAGTGGCCAAAATGATACAATCTATTAAAGTGAGTGGTCATTTTTATTATAATTTTTAATTATTGTATTTGTAATTTTTTTTAAACAAAGATTCATATTTTGGCACTTTTGGTACAATTTAGCAACACCACCAAACTTGTTGTAGTGTGTTTGTTTTCTTGATCAAGTCGCTATTCTTGTCTGAAGTATGTAATTGTGTTGTGCTTGTAATACCAATCAATATCACATTATCATAGTCAGCTGGCATTATTTGCTTTTTTGAATTGTCACTAATAATTATATTTGTGACTGGCTCCAATGTGTGTATGGCAGCTGCATGCACTTATATACTTAATGTTTTGCTTGATATTATGACTTTGGTACCTTGTATGATACATGTACTGTGAGCTAAGTTACTTTTTTTTATTTACATGATACTGATTTTATGCTTACAGGGTGAAGTGTCCATAACTTATAACAAGCTACATGCTGATCCCAAACAAGGCAAATCTCTAGATATTGGTAAGTATTTTTTTTCCCCAGAATTTTCTAATAATAATGCATTGTAAATAAACCATTGTTTTAACATATGGTGCATGTGACATTCTGCTTTAAATTAAAAAAAAAAATAAACTATTGATTTTGTGATTTCAGTGTTGAAGAAGGTAAAACATAGAGTTGTGGAGAATATGAGCTCCAACACAGCAGATGCTTTGGGGCTTAGCAGAGCTATTTTGTGCAATGGTATGTTTTCTTTCTCCTTGGATTTATTCCTGAAAGATCAACTTCAATCTTATTAATTTAAAGTTTATATGTTAACTTGTCACACAAATATACATCACAAAAACATGCATGTATTGTGTTTTTTATGTTTCAGATGGTTTGGTTAAGAAACTTGAAGAACTGGAGAAAGTTGCAGACACATACAAGGGGTTGATAGACCACACCAAAAAACTCCTGAAAGCTACCTTTGAGCTCTCTCAATCACATAAAGGTATGCAATTGCTATGTTAGTTTTCATTTCTAACTGTTTGAGTTTGTCAGATCTTATGACTGAAAAGAAACTCCATGAAATACTTCAATGACAAAAATCTAACATATAGTATGGTTTTGTGCCAGAAAAAGGCCCCAAAAGTCACATATTTATTCAATTTCTGAATTTAAATTTCATTTATGTATTACCATCAATATTAAAATATATTTGGTTCAGGAAACGAAGGTTTCAAGCTATATATGATTCTCAATTTGACATTTTTTAATGGAGTAGTATCAGAAAATGTCTCCTATACAGATTCAAAAGTACATTCACCAGTGTTCCATGTTTTCCATTGCAGAGGATATACCAATGAATGATCTTTAAAAATGAAAATGAAATTTCAACTTGTCTGTTCCCTTACTGTGGGGCATGTGTTCGCTGCATATCAAAAGAATACTTACTTTTGTCAAAGTGTGAATTTAGGTTCTAGATCACAAAATAACAACTTTGATTTTTATGTCAAATGAGGGACTGATTTTAGCCATCACAAAAATCCTGTTCTTTCTATGGTTATCTTGAAGTCGTGTACAGTGCATGAATTTTACATTGTTTTGCAGCATTTGGAGAGGTCTTTGGGTCTATAGGTGTGAGGGAACCACAGCCAGCAGCCAGTGAAGCTTTCACAAGGTTTGGAGAAGCACACAGAAATATGGAGAGATTTGCAATAAAAATGTTGAAGAAAGTCAAACCTGTAAGTTCCTATTATAAACTCTGTTTTCTTCTCTTTGCATTTAAGTGAAATATTCAGTTAGAAATTCCCAGTATTTTACCTATTTTGAAATTAATTGCATTTTAAAAATATACATTTATTCAGAGCCAAGATATGACATGCATATAGATATTTGAAATGTATAAGCTTTACAGAAAAATACACTATGATGAAAAATTGTCCCTGATTGCATTTTAGATTTAATACATTGGGACATTCTTTAAACTTGCTTTGAACATTCTTACCCTTTTGCAGATGATCAGTGATCTTAACACATACCTGAACAAGGCAGTTCCAGACACAAGACTTACTATTAAAAAATATCTAGATGTCAAGTTTGAATATTTGGTAATTTTCTTTTTATTCTTTGGTTCTCTTTGATAATGATAATATTTTGTGGAGAAATCCCTTCTATATCAAAAATGAATTCTAATGAATCAAAATAAAACTTTTTTTCTCATTTATTAAAAAAAAATAAAGATTGTAGGGCTTTTTAAGGTTGTCCATCCCTTGCATTATGAAAATCAGCAGTTTAGTAATTGCTATGCACATTGTAACTAATCAAAAGGATAATTTTAAGAGTAATGTTTGCTTAGGGATGACAAACATTCATGAAATAATTGAGTGGCCTTAGATTTTTCAAAACTTGTAAATATATATATATATATATATATATATATATATATATATATATATATATATATATATATATATATATATATATATATATATATATGTGCATTTGGTCATTAAATTTGACTGTTTTTTGGTGGTTTATTTAGGCATACTGTCTGAAAGTGAAGGAGATGGACGATGAGGAATACAGCTACGCTGCCCTTCAGGAACCCCTTTATCGAGTAGAAACCGGAAACTATGAGTACAGGTCTGTATCTGGGGAACTCTTTACATAAACCTACTTGGTTACATGCAGATAACAAATGCAGAGCAAATACTGTAAACAAAAGACAAAGCAATAGAGTATTGGTCAGAGTATTGATACTGCACTTTATCTGCAGAATAAGGGAATCTGTGTAAAGAAGGAGGAGTAAGAATAACAGTATAATTAGCACATACATGTATCCACATAACTCCTGATACTTAAGCATGAAAGTACATGTAGTTATCAGTCAAAACTGTGATACATGTAGTAATGTTGTTAATATGCTACTTTGTAAAATGCCATATACATGAATGTACTTTGCTCATCAAACAATCGTTTTTTGAGCATATATATGGAGTTTGGAACATTTCTGGAAAGGAAGTCTGCTCATGCATTTGTTTTTCTCAGTAAATGTTTGGTGTATGCGATTCCCTAATACATGCATACAGTTATAAACTAAAAAGTTCTTAATTTTATACACGACATTTTTATTTTGTTTCAGACTAGTCCTGAGATGTAGACAAGATGCTAGGGTCCGATTTGCCAAGATGAGATCTGATGTTTTAGTGAAGATTGAACTGCTAGATCAAAAACATGGTAAGTAGTAGTTAACATATAAGTTTTTATTCTAGATACCCTATAGAGAGTTAAAAGGTCACGAGAAGGCTCAGCCTTTGAGTGACCTTTTAACCTCTCTATAGGGTATCTAGAGAAAACCAATAAAAAACTTATACGGTAAGTCACATGTACCATAGCACTCTCAGATTTCCTAATATGGCAGAGAGATGATGTATTAGTTGCAAATAAATTTCCTAATGTGGTTTGTCACCTGACATAATTATAATGGCACGGGCTATACACTGTACATATATATTACATTTTATCGCACATTTTGTGCACTTGCAATCAAAAAGCAAAAATGGGCAAACACAACGCAATGAGCATGGATCTCGATTTTCTTGAATTGTCGCAAAATTTTGAATGGGACAATTCTATCGATGATCAAACTCTCTCACAGATAGGCCAGTTGATAGACGAAGTAAACATGTTTGATGGTATTGGGGATTTATCTCTTACTCAAACGGATTTTAATTTGACCAAGGAGCTGGTTACACCCGAGAATGTTAAACAGCAGTTGAACCATTCGGACGATCGATTTGAAAAGTTTTACGATAACGACAATGTATATTTACATGGAATGTTATCAAAGATTTTAAATAAAATTTAATTGATTAAATTCTATGCAATTCAAGGTCCCACCTATAGGTTATGAAGCCTCCGCTCATGGGTTATGGTGTAGATAACCCATAGTTAAAACAATATAAAACATGGCGGCCTATGGTACATTAATTATTAAATCAATATGTAAGATATAGAATAAATTGATAGTATAAATGTTGTATTACAGGAGTAAAACATGCCGTAAAATCCTGAAAGAAAATTTGCTACTTACGAGATTAAGAATATCTGAGCTATAAATTGTCTGTCTGAGCTCTATGTTTAATATGCAGTAGATGCTGGTTTAGGGATGACAACTATGTAGTAACATCTTTTAATTGAACAAGGTGAAACATAGCTTGCGACCATTTGAACAATTTTATATTTCATCTTTTGACTTTGTTGTCTTCATAAAGCCACCGTCATTTTAGCTCAGTAGATAGAGTGCTTGTTCCGTGATCGGAAGGCCATGTGTTCAAATCACGGCCGCGACTTACGTAAGTCGATAAAAAGTAGGTAGCAACTGTTCCTTCGCCAGGCGCTCGGTGCTTCGAAGTGAAAGTTGCGGGTCCTTTGGACCTTAAAAACGAGGCCCCACACATAGGTGTTGGCATGATAAAGAACCGTAACTGCTCAGTGGCCCTGAGTGCCTAGTAAAGGTCTAAATTTGAAGCCCTTCAACGGTGTATGGTGACATCTCTATATGAGTGAAAAATTCTCGAACGGGACATAAAACAACATAAAATCAACCAATCTTCATAAAGCCAATGTGAAATTCTCATATTTTTTTTCAATAGTTTATGATCAAAATTGAACAAATTATGAGCAAAAATTTTTGGGATAAAAAAAGGTGTTAAAAGAGTTGTCTTTCTTCCCAAGTAGATTAATCTAATTCATCCCAAGGTACTCTCTGTAGCCAAAGAAATTTGTGTGATCCAAGCATTCAGTAGTTGTTGTGGTTGAAATGTAATATATGTACTTTTCTGCTTTCAGTGCAAGATATTGTGTTCCAGTTACAAAGGTTTGTGTCTGCCATGGCTAAATACCACAATGACTGCCATACAGTGATGAAGGAGGCAGTAGTGTTTCCAATTGAAGTGGATCTGTCGCGGGGCACCTTTACCTATGATACCAGTAGTCAGTTTAATGATGGCGAAGATGACGAGGAAGAGGAAGAAGGTGAGGAGGTGACAGAACCAAGTGAGGGTCAAACAGGGGACCTAATAAGTACAGACTGAAACAAAAGGAAGAGGTCATAGAAAATGAAGCCAGAAACAAATAGATTATAACAGGATGGACTGAGAAAGGACAAATTTGTTTTGATACAAGTTCCTTTTTTTGCAATATTCCATTGAAGAGTAGAAAATTCACCTGTGCATGGCAAGAACAGTCAACTACAGCAAAAGCATTTGTATTTTTGATCTGTTACAAACTTATCATTTAATGGCAATTAAAATGCAAAATATTTTCCACGTCAAAGCTGTCAGTGAAACAATAACAGGGAAAATTGTCCGTGATCTACTGTATACAACATGTATCAAGGATCTCTCTCCATCATTGTAACAAGCTTTTTTGCTCATTGAAAAACTTATGCATGATCATTTTCACATGTTAGGTCCGCAACATTTCCAATATTATTGTTACCTTTAAACTTTCTTGAGAGAAAACATTTGATCTGATCATTCCAAAGGCATTCCCAATAAATGTGATGATATATTTTCTACATTATTTTTAAATCTCTTATCATTAATTGTTGTGTTTTTTAAAATGTTTTTACTTGTGTACTATATTTTGAATCTCTCTTTTTGTTGAAGAAATCCAATTTTTCTTTCAGATGATACAGATTTTGTTTATTATTTAATGTTGTTATTTATAGAATTTGTTGTGGAATAAAGGAAAAAGACTTTGACATGGTGCTTTTGAATTTTAGGTACATACTGGGTATTTACTTCAGGGATGCCATTGGGTATAGTAAATTGATGAAATGGCAAGTAAAAGCACATTTATATCAAGTACTCTATCAGAAGCCTTAACATTGATATAAATTTTCAGTGCATTGTACCTGTCTCCAGAATCATGAAACATCTAATGTAGAAATCTATATTGTCTGAAATGGTATAGAAGTCAAACAGTCCAAAATAATTATATTAGCATTATGCATCACCATTGTGCTGTTAATTGTAAATTTTGAGCATCAGTTTTTGTTTAGGAAGTTCTATTTATTATATAGATTTAAATTCAAGTTTGTTGTACAATCCAGAGGCCTGGATTCAGAACATTCACATGAGTAGCATTTGCTTTAATGGAAAAGTTGATTTAATAAGCAAATTCAAGGAATTGTGGTCCCCCACTTTCGGTGTCTTAGAGGTTAGGACACATTTATGGCATATTGTAATACAAATGTACCCAAGTTCCCTATCTTCTCTCATGCAAAAGTTATCAGTAATATTGAAATTTTTAAAAGTTGGATCAAACTTCAAAATCAAGGTCATGGGGTTAAAAATCATAGTACATTAGGAAACATCACAGGTAAAGCACATGTCAATTATGAATGTCTTCTCTCCCTCAAAGATTATCAGCAAAGACAAAATTTTCGAAAATCACGTCAAACTTGAAGGTCAAGGTCACTGGGTCAAATATTATAGCACATTAACATCACTGGTAATGCACTTGGTCAAATATGAATGCCCTATCTTCTCTCATTCAAAAATTATCACCAATGCTAAAATTTTGAAATTAAGTTCAAACTTCAATGTCAAGGTCATGGAGTCAAATATCATACCATGTTAGGAAACGTCTTGTCACAAGTAATGCACATCTAATATGAATGCCCTAACTTTTCCTATTCAAAAACTATAAACAATGTTATGTTTTTGAAAATTAGATCAAACTTCAAGGTCAAGGGGTCAAAAATCATAGTTTATTTAAAAAGGTCTTGGTAAGGTCACAGGTAATGTACACGTAAAATATGAAAGCCCTCTTTCTTCTCATTAGAATGTTATGAACAAGTTAAAAGTTTTTAAAATTAGGTAAAACTTCAATACTTCACATGTACATTACCTGTGAAGTTTGAACTACTTTTCAAAAAATTCAATAAATTTTAAATTTGGTCATTACTTTTGAATGAGAAAAGATAGGGCTTTCATATTTCACTTGTGCATACCTGTGACAAGACACTTCCAAGCATATTATGATTTTTGACCACGTGACCTTGAAGTTTGACCTACTTTTCCAAAATTGTAATAAACTTTTACCTTGGTCATATCCTTTGAATGGGAAAAGATAAGGGTTTCATATTTCACATGTATATTACCTTTGACAGACCTTTCGAACGTACGATGAATTTTCCCCTTAACCTTGTGCTTTGATTAAGGTTCATTGATACTCTGATAAGAGAGATAACTCTTAATGACATAAATGTCTATTATTCCTTTATAGATTTGCCAAGTTGAAGTGTCTTTTTTGTCCAATTTTGCCCCGCAAGCTATTCTACAATTGTTTGTATTTTACTTAAAAAATACATTTCTTTTGGAAAATCATTAAGGATCAAGCAACATTTCACATATGAGTGAGCAGAGGGTTTATGAACCTTAACCTTGGTCATAACTTTTAAATGAGAAAAGATATAGGGCTTTCATATTTCAACCTGTGACAAGACGTTTCCAAACATACTATGATTTTTGACCACGTGACCTTGAAGTTTGACCTACTTTTCCAAAATTGTAATAAACTTTTACCTTGGTCATATCTTTTGAATAAGAAAGGACAGGGCTTTCATATTTCACATGTACACTACTTGTGACAAGACCTTTCTAAGCATACTATGATTTTTGACCCTGTGACCTCGAAATTTGACATACTTTCCAAAAATCTAAATAAACTGTAGCTGTGGTCATAATTTTTGAATGAAAATAGATAGGCCTTTCATTTTTCAAATGTACATACCTGTGAGACGACCGATTTTTAACCATGTGACCTTGAAGTTTGACCTACTTTTTCAAAATGTTAATAAACTTTTACATTGGTCAAAGCTTTTGAAGGAGAAAGGACAGGGTTTTCATATTTCACATGTATATTCCTGTGACAAGATGTTTCCAAACATACTATGATTTTTGACCCCTTGACCTTGAGGTTTGACTACTTTTCCAAAAAAAATTAAACCTTGGTCATTACTTTTGAATGAGAAAAAGACGGAGCTTTCATATTTCTCATGTACATAACCTGTGACAAGACCTTTCCAAACATACTATGATTTCTGACCCCGTGACCTTGGCAAACTTTTCAAGAATTTTAACCATAGTTATAACTTCTGAATGAGAAAATACAGGACTTTCATATTTGACATGCGCATTACATATGACAAACGTTTCCAAACGTCCATGTTTTTGACCCCTTGACCTTGACTTTATAAAGTTTGAAGTATTTTTCATTTTTTTTTTTACATTGGTGATAACTTTTGAATGAGAGATGAAAGTTTATATTTGACAAGTGCATTACCTGTGTCAAAAAGATTCCGAATGTGATATGATATATGACCCCGTGACCTTGACTTAATTAGAAAAAAATAACACTGGTATTTACTTTTGAATGAGAGATGATAGAGTGTTCATGTTTGACAAATGTTTTACCTGTGTCAAAAAGTTTCCGAGTGTGCTATGATATTCGACCCATGACTTTGAAGTTTGACCTTACTTTCAAACATTTTATCATTGCTGCTAACTTTTGAAGGAGCGAAGACCATTCATATTTGACACGTGCATTACCTATGACAAGCACTGCTAATTTACTATGATAGTTAACCCAAGACCTTGGCCTTGAGGTTTGACTTAATTTAAAAAAAATTAACATTGCTGATAACTTTTGATTGAGAGCAGATATAGGGTATTTACATTTGACATGTGCTTAACCTATTTGGAGACCTTTTCCAATGTACTCTGGTTTTTGACCTCGTGACCTTGAAGTTTCACATAATTTTTTTTTAAATTAATTTTACATTGGTAATATTTTTTGAATGAGAGAAGACAAGGCTTTCATCTTTTTACGTGTACATTACATATGGAAACACCTTTCAGAAAGATATATCATTTTTGACTTCATGACATCGACCTCGAATTTGACCTTCATATTAAAGATTTTAACTTTGACCATCAAGAAGATGGGCGTGTTTGGCGTGTGATCTGCAGGAATCATGTGTACGAAACATTTATAGTTTAAATGTCCACGATTTGGTCGGCTGACCACAGCTGGACAGGCTTTACATATATAGCTACGCACATAGGAAAATGTTATATTTGATTTGAAATAACATGTCAAATTGTAATATTTAGGTCCGCTTATCTTAATAATCAAACTTTAACATAGTAATGTTTCATATAAATAATAAACACCTACAAGATAATAAGGGTATAGTTAAATGCAATTACAAGTACATGTGTATATTAAAGCATTAGTAGGTTGGAAGAATTGCTTTCGCTCTCGGTGCAATAGAACCAGAATTTATCCATTTTAAAATAAATCGGTACAAACAAATTAAACTGACAAAAGAATTGATTACTTGCATTAAAAAAATATTAACGCTCCATGTGAGGATCGAACCAAAAATTTTCGTCTCCATTGCACTGGACGGGTAACGCATATTACTGAGCTATCATCGCTACACATTCAACTTGGCTTTTAAAACGACAATGAAGCACCGCATTTACACATTGGAATTCTTTGGGGGAAAAGTTCATTTTTTATGGTCTCTGGGTCTTCTCTCCATTTTTTACAAATGATTTTTTGTTTCTTTGAATTAGAATGCAAACAAATAACATTTGAAAATCATGGAGAGATGACCCAGAGATAGCAAATTTTTAGAAAAACGTGTTTAAAAATGTGACATTTTGTACCAAATGAATCATCTAGCCTATTTTCAGATTATTTTTTAGCAAATCAAAATAAATTTCGGGAAAATATTTCCCTTTCCGATTTCACAGGAACCCAAATGTTCAAAAGAATGCTAAAATTTCGTGTGACAGATCAATAAATTTTTCATTTTTCAAGTGCGCCCAGATTCCTGCCGAATGCCAATCAAAAGCGCCCTCGTTCTTTGTTCCAGAGGAGACAAGGCTTTCATTTTTTTATTTTCACATTTGCATTACTTGTGACAAGGCAGTTTCTAGTATGATATTTGACCTCATGACCTCGATATTGAAGTTTGATGCAGTTTTGAGAAACTATATTTTTGCCATAAGTATTATTAAGGTATTCAATGTATAATGAAGGGATTTTGAAGAATTTTGAATCATTTTAAACTAGATAAAATTGCATTGCTAGATAACGATGAAAGTGAAATGAACCAAATTCACATGACTGATAACATATAAGAAGCTGGTCATTCTGCACTTTTAAAGTTTTTAAAGAGTTATCTGCCCTTGATGCAAAGAAGAAAATTTTAATTTCGTCAAAATATCTGTGGTAAATGATTAATTTTATTTCATATTTTAATAATGAGAGAGTGTATGCATATTTTCCCCAAAAGCTTTTTATGAAATTCAAAATACTTTTTACAATATTCTAATAACTCATGCATTGCCCATAGACTTCAATGTAAAATTCAAGGTGCAATTAATTCGACAGTAATAAAATTTTTTTAAATTTCTTGGAGTATTTTTATTTCACACCACCATCAAAATGATACCATAATTACAAATATAGGACCATTCATTTATTAGATACAAAATATGGTCGTTATACATTGAATACCTTAATTCAATAATTTATGTCATTTTGTACGATGCAACGACAAAACAGGATACACAAACAAAACAGTTACAATACGCCATAGAAAATTGCATCCTAACCACTATGACACCGAAGGCGGGTGACCACAATTCTTTGAATTTGCTTGATTACCTTAAGAGGGCTGAGAGGTCATGTTAATCTTTAGATTATTGTAAACTCATGAGAAAAAAATCTCTGTATAAAAAAATATAGGAAATTGCATACAATATTATAGCTGGAACATGTAGTTAAGTTGTCTTTATCAGAGTGTGAATTTTTTTTATAAAAGGTTAGATTAAGGATAAACATTGTATTTAGAATTTTTCAATTGTAATACTTTATGAATGTATTATAGAAAAAAAAGTTAGACCTCTGAGGTACGGAACAAGTGGGGGGGGGGGGTCCCAAAGTACTCATATCATTCATTGAGTCGTTTTATCTGTAATGACAGAATATTATTCACGCAACAGATTTAAACACTTCATTGGGGGAATGACTGATTGCAAAGGACAACCAAGAAATGACTGGATGTAAAGGTTAACCGCAAGATGAACGGATGTAAAGGACAGCCATGGCACATGATGTCTCGATGTGAAGGACAGCCACAAGATGACAGGATATAAAGGACAGCCACGTGATTACTGGATGTAAAGGTCTGGGTGTAAAGGACAGCCACAAGGAGACTGGAGGTAGAGGACAGCCATAAGGAGACTGGAATTAAAGGACAGCCACAAGGTGACTGGATGCAAGACAGTCACCGGGTGAATATATGTAAAGGACAGCCACGAGATGTCTGGGTGTAAAGGACAGCCACAAGATGTCTGGATGTAAAGGACAGCCACAAAATGCCTGGGTATAAAGGACAGCCACAAGATTTCTAGGTGTTATGGACAGCCACAAGATGTCTGGATGTAAACAACAGCCACAAGATGTCTAGATGTAAAAAAAAAAAAAACCAGCCACAAGATGCCTGGGTGTAAAGGACAGCCACAAGATGTCTGGATGTAAAGGACAGCCACAAGGTGACTGGATGTAAAGGACAGCCACAAGGTGTCTGGGTGTATTTAGGACAGTCACAAGAAGACTGGAAGTAAAGGACAGCCAGCCACAAGATGTCTGGGTGTAAAGGACAACCACAAGGCAGAGTTGTGGAAAACTGTCGGTCATGCCGGCAAAACCGGTTAAAAATGCTTGTGACCGGTAAAAATGTCAACGATGTCGGTCCAAATGACCGGCCCTTTTTTGGTTCAAGTTTTATTTTTCCTATTATTATTGGTGCAGTTTCCAGCCCAATTATCGTATGAATATAAAGTACGATTGCGTAATACTTCTTCTTTACACGAGATCGAGGCTAATAATTCCCCAATGCATAAATGTTTCAATAAAATTACGTTTACTGTGCTGAATTAGTATTGTCATCTGCCCAAAAGCGGTAAGTCTAGTACGTATTGTTATAAATGCAAAACTGAAAACGGACGAAGACTTTGAAATGGAAACGTAATGTTATATAATTATTAATAAAATAGATGTGTAATGAAGAAATACATGTTATATTTTTTGTGTGTTTGATTTTTGTTTGTTTGTTTTTTTGTTTGTTTGTTTTTTTTTGTATGTTTTTTGTTGTTTTTTTTTTTTTGTTTTTGTAATTTGCGACTTGAGATTTCGGACTGGCAAAAATCTCTTCGGACTGACTTATTTTGTCTTCTTGCCAGTCCAAATGACTGGCTATCTGAAAAAGTTTTCCACAACTCTGCAAGGTGACTAGATGTAAAAACAGCCACAAGCTGAATGGATGTAAAGGACAGCCACAAGGTGTCTGGATGGAAAGGACAGCCACAAGATGTCTGGATGTAAAGGATTACCACTAAATGCTCAGGGTTACTACTTTCAATATGGACCTCTATTCAGAAGGAACTTTTCCTCAATGTCAAGTGATCCTTATTGTGTCACATGCATACACTTGGCTACATCAGTGCACATACTTATTATTGCAGTAGATTTAACTTTTAAGTGTACTTGCAACTTTTAGAATCTTTCACGTTTCAATCTGTGAATTGTGATGATAGCCATAAAAAATTGAGTTTCTGCATTTTGAGATACCTGAATTTGAATTACCCATAAAAGGATATCACATTATGTACCTGTACTTTATCTGTTTTCATTTGTTTCTTAGATTTTTACACATAGGAACTTTGCTTTGTAAAAGAAATGTTTATTTTATAGTGAATCTTAAAAAAAGTGATTTTTTTTTTTCATTTTTTTTTTCAATGTAATCTTCCATAGTCATATATAAAAGGTGTACCGGTAACTAAAAAGTGATTCGTTTCAGATCTGGTATTGATCAGTTTCTAAACGTTGATCTCTGTAATGTAAGTGTGTTCTTAAACAAATTGACAATTTAAATCCAAATTTTTGAGAAGGCAAAGGTAGTATTCCTCCCTGTGTGTCCCCATCTACATGTATTGCAGATATAGTTATGAAGAGTTTTCTCACAATGAGGAATAGATATCTAGGCACAACTGAACATGATTTTAAACAAAGGCACAAAACGGTACTGTATATCTGTACTTAATATGTTTTAATAAATTTTACAACTGTTTTCTGAAGAAATTTGCAAATTTAATGATCTTTACACACCAAATAATTCAGCAAACAAATTAGCACATATTATTTTTGGCTGATGATGACAAAATATTTTATATACTGTCCATAAACTGAGAGAGTTTGAGAATGTCAGCCACTTCTTTGATGGACTCTTTATTCTTGCCAAGCTCTTCATGTCTGAATTCAACCTTGTGAACAGTCACCTTTCCATTGCAGTACTGAAAATATGATGAAGAGGAAAATGTAATGTGCATATGAATACATGTATATACATTCACATATGCAAATATTTTTCTTTTTATAAAGGTATTTACCAGTATATGAATTTAAAATTAATTTTGGATAACATGCATTTTGTCAACCAACTTTGATTTCAAAGATCCACATGATTCCACTACAGTCAAACCTCGTTATCTCGAACTAAGTGGGACTAAGAAAAAACTTCCAGATATCCGAGGATTTGAGATATCCAGGGTAAAATACTTAAAGAATAAGTAGTTAGGACTTTGAAATCACTTTGACATATCCAAGGTATTCGAGATATCTGTGTTTGATATACAGAAGTTCAACTGTATTATGGAAATAACCAGCTCATCAAGTTAACATTTCAATTTTTATTTTTAAATTTTAGACAATTATTGCACATTGGTTGCAAATGTAAAAATAGAGTATCATTTTAAATACACTGTACCTACTGGGATATACAAATCGGTATGCAGGAACATAGTATTGGGCGGTGCACATTTTTTCTGAACACAATGTTTTTACTGTTAAGCTAGAATTTTTTTTCTTTTTAGATTTCTGAGGCAAATTGTTACATATTTTCTAGCTGTCCCCTTTCCCTTTCAAAAAATGATGCTATGTGCCTGTTATGGGTTGGCACATGATCAAGTTCCATTAAGCACAAGGGTTAAATTAAAGATTAAGAGAACAGAGCTCACAGAATGGTAACAATTCAGCATTGTTATACATAGCTCTGGCAAATTTTTCCACAAGAAAATGAGTATACTAAGTTCTTAAAACAAAAAACAAAAAAACCCCTACCTCATTCCATTTGTAGTCATTATACAATTGACAAAATTTAAACTCCGAATTTTGAGGTCTTATGAGAATGACATCACACTGTACAGATGGGGACTGGTTGTGCATGGCATTCAGGGCCCTCTTGTGGTAGTTCTGTATGGTGTATGAAGCATCAGGAGCACTGGTCACCAGGCCTGCATCCATCACAGCATGGACTGTTTGTCTCAGCTTTTCATGCAAGGAAGTCTCCATTTGGTAATTCTGTAAGTGATATTCATTTTGCTAACAAAATTATATAGGCAAGAAACCTCTGCAGTTTTTAGTACATTAATAAATTATCATCAAATTTTGATTCATTTGTAATTACATACCACTGCCATAAGGACTGCTACAATTCTTTCTAAGACAAAAAATATCTTAACAATTTATCTTAATACAAGTAAAAAGATTACATTTTTTGCTGGCTACTTACATATGTGTCCAGTCCAACAAGTTGATGGAAGCTCCTTAGTATGACATCATCACACAGACTGGCACTTAGGTCCCTCTGTTCCCTCAATGGCTGTCCACACAGACTGGGCAGTATCTCAGGACTGCTGTCTATAGCCACTATCTTACAAACAGCAGCCTTCCAGCAAGACTTGACCATCTGTGCAATGTGTAAAGCCAACAGAGAACCATAGGACACACCAACAAGGAAGCATCCCTTCTCCAAAAGAGGAGCCAATTTCTGCAAAACAATTCAATTATTTCTCTATGTGTTGAAATGATAAAAATTTTGTATGATTTAAACTACTATTGAGATAATTCCAACTGATGCATCTGGAGTGTTTTCTACCGCAGTATAGAATCCTGCCATTGCTTTCACGGACACCAAAGGAGTTGTAGGGGTACACTGAACACCATACAGTGGATTGTCTAAGAACTGACCAAGTGTTTTCCATGACCCAAATGAACCTTTCAAGAAAGACCAACAAATATCTTATCAACATCAATTTTTGAAGGAAAAATGACCTTTCTGGGACATTCATATGACACTGACTTACCATCTAAGCCATGTAGGATGATAATGGAGGTTTTGTCCTGTTGTCCTGGAGATAGCTGAACAGTGCAATCCATGGGAATGCTGAATGAACTTGACTCCTCTAGCTTTATATCTATATTTGAATTCTCCTCCTTGACCTCATTAAGGTTGACATCAGTCTCTTGTTTACCCCCCCTCTTGGCCTCTGACATCACCTGGAGTTTTTGGATGGTGAGTTTTCTGATATTTGGGAGAGACAGGTCAATGTTGTACTGATTCTCCATGATTTGTTTGATTTCTACTCCCATTAATGAATCCATACCAAGATCTAGAAGTGTAGACTCTGGTCTCAAAGCTGCAAGACCTTGTAGACCTGAAGTAGAAAAGAACATCACCTTCACACATAACAAATCTATGAGCTACTTTTTTTGGATACTTCTTAAATGCTTATCCTATATCATTTTCTTTACTTAATCTTTCTGTTCAACAAAGAAAGAAGCAACTCTACCCAAGACTTTCATAACAGACTCCATTAATGTTCGTTCGGATTGCTTTTCCTGTGCTCCTGCTTTCATGGCCACTGGAGCTGGAACAAAACTGGATACCACTGGTTTAGACTGGCAGAGGAACTGGTCAAGGGAATCCAGACATGAGGACAATCTCTGGGGTAGGGTCCCTCCAACAGCTGTTACCTTGGTCCCAAACTTCTCCACTGCCACACCCACATCTCCTATCACACCCCACTGAATAGCTAGTGCTGTAATTGACAGAAACATGACGGCACTTAGTTGTCTTTGTAAATGATATTAATAATTGCAGCAAACAGATCAATAGCAGTATAAAGAACACATAACTCAGGAATATTTCCAATTCCTTTGTTCTTTGAAATTTAAAGTAATTTTATAACAAATTAATGCATCTTCTAGCTTACCTGGAAATCCATTTGCTTGTCTCTGTTCACAGATCCTCTCCATAAATGAGTTGGCATAACCATAATTTGCCTGCCCAGCATTCCCTCTACCACTGGTCACTGAGGAGAACACAACAAACCAATCCAGATCCTTACATAGAGTTCTGCTCCAGTTGTCCAGATGGACAATACCCAGAACCTTTGGATCAAGGACATCTTTGAAATTTTCATTGGTCTGGTTTTCAAGCATACCATCCCTCAACACCTGATGAAAACAAAATTTGTAAATTCCACAGCAGTCTGCCCACATACCTCATTTTTAAGGTCAGCATTTTCAATTTTAATTCATGAGTTAATTACTAACATGTGTGAACATTTGCTACTGACTTACCATTGCCAGGTGGAATATTCCACCCACAGGTCCTTGTTTCATGGTCTCCTCTATCAGGGAGCGACAGCCTCCTTCTGATGTCATGTCTTCAGTTGACACATACACCTTGATTCCCTGCTCCTTCAGAAGCTTTACCTTTCTTGCCTGGTACCCATTTCTGATTCCAGATCTGGATGTTAGAACCAGTTTTCTGGCTCCTTTATCTACTAACCAGTTGGCCAGCTCCAAACCAAAACCTCCCAGTCCTCCAGTAATTATGTAGATTTTGTTAGGATTACATCTAGCTTTGCTTTGTACTGGTTTTACTGTTGGGTTCACAGGCTTGTCAACTTGGTCTTTCTCATCCCGGATCTAATGTAAGTATTTCCAAAAAAATTGACCCTGAAAATCTGCATTTTTAATAAAATCTTGAAATATAACGAAAAAAGCCATTATGGAATAAGTATCTTTTAAAATATTTCTCAATATGCTGTACTGTGTTCATTCTTTACTAAAAATTAATTAACTTTATTAAATGCAGCACCTTAATAACAGTTTTAGAATGATATCCCTTCATTGATTCCAGATCTGCCATAGCTCTCTGTATGTCATCACTGTTAAAGCATTTGTGAGGGATTGGCTTATATGCTCCTGACTTTATTCCATTAGAAAAGTGTTCCCATATCACTTCAAAATCATCCATTTTTATTTTTTCTAAGTTCAATCTATTGCACTCCATAGCATCAACTATTCTGACCACATCTACAAAGAAGACAATTGCACTGGAATCTTGAAGCTTAATTAAATTCATGTGGAGATGAACAATAAAGATTTGTTTTAAATAAAAGAAGACCACAAATTTATAAAGATCATTTGAGCATACGAAGTCAGATTTATGAATGAGTTAGACACATCTTACTTTTCTGCATAGTGTTTTGAGCAAAATCCATCACTTTTCCTCCAGAGGACAAAATGCTGACATCAACAGATAAGGATCTGTCCAATACCGTGTTCATCACAAGATCTACACCTAGTCAAGAGAGAAAAAATAACCAGGTCATTCAGGGACTTGACATGAGCCTTTTTTTAATAATATTGACACTTTGTTATTGATTTTGAGCAAAGCATCTTAAAATCAGTCCAATTTAATTGTGAAGTAAACATGAAGTTTACATGTTGAGATATAATAAATTTTTTTTTTGCTGCATGAAATGTGAACAATTTTTACTGAACTAAAAATTTCTTCCCTTAATCCTTATTCACCTATATATTGAAAGAGCACTTTTTGGAGTTTTTGGGTTACTGCATAACCGAAATATGCAATAGCTTTTATTATTAATAATCCTAATACTTTGGCCTTGACCTATGTTCAAGAGAAATCAACATCAATATATATCAACAATATATTATCTTGTCTTTGACATTGACCTTTGATAAAGTAACTCTAAAATTTATAGGTGTCTTTCCATGGCATTCCCCTTCCATATATAGTAAATTTGAAGCTTAAGCTTAAAACATTAGTTTTTTGCATCACAAGGCCATAGCAATGATTTTGGCCTGTGACCTTAACCTCTGACCAAACAATACCAAAATCTATAGGTGTTTTGTATTACTATTCTTCATAAGGTCTGTAGGTAAAAAGATGATTGAGTTAATGTGTGTTGTTAAAGGTGCATGGACACAGATTTGAAGTTTATATTTTCTCAAATTTTCTGTATAATATCACCACTTATATGTTGCTATAGCATTTCACACGAAAATAAAATTAAAAACTTATTTAATCTGGAAATTATTGAAACTACGAATTTCGGGAGGCATTTGATTAATACATCCTTGCACTTTCACAATTTTTAACTTTATCCTTAATACTTAAGAAAAGTAGCAATTTTGTTGTGTATTAATGAATAATATTACATCTATAATCCAGAAAATTCAGAGTAAAAAAGAGCAAAAGCAAAACCCACTCACTTAAGTATTGTCAGCCCGTGTTCAGTGTTGTGTAGTTGTGCACATTGAATACACCCGTGAAATGTAAACTGTTTTTGTAAACAGGGCACGAGCTCTGTTGTTGTTAATGTTTACGTTTCACTGGGTGTGTTCAATTGTTAAACTCTGCAACACCATGCACTGAGCACGGACTGACAATACTGGTGAGAGGATTTTGCTTTCTACATTTCTACTCTGAAATTTCTGCATTATAGATATAATATTATTCATTAATACACAACAAAATTGCTACTTTTCTAAAATAATAAGGATAAAGTTAAAATTTGTGAAAGTGCAAGGATGTGTCTATCAAACGCGTCCAGAAATTCTAAGTTTCAATAACTTCCAGATAAAATAAGATTTTTATCAAATTTTCGTATGAAATGCTAGAGCAACATATAAGTCATGAAATTATAAAGAAAATTTGAGTAAATATTAACTTCAAATCTGTGTCGAAGCACCTTTAATAAAAATTACCATGACTTTTGACCCTTGCGCAAGTAACCTACTAAACTGTAGGTGTCTTTATCCTTCACCTAGGTACAGTAAAACTTGTCTAATCCGGACACCACTGGTTCTAAAGAAATTGGACTGATTAGGCAACATTCCAGATTAGACAGCATCCTAAACAATTGAATTTACTGAAAGGGACATAACGCTTCCATCAGTATATATTAGACAAGATTTCAGATTATACTACATCCAGATTAGACAAGTTTCACTGTAGTAAATATGAAGTTGGTAAATTGAAAATTACTCAATTATCACAACACATAAAAAATGTGGATGGATGGCAAGATGGACAAACAAAGTGATTAATATAAGGCACTGCCATATTCATATTATGGGACCCTACCTTGTTTATTTCATTTAAGGATATTTTGCATAAATTTTTAAATTAAAAAAAAAAATGTTTGAATTCAAACATTTGTAATAAGACACCAAAGGAACATACCTCCAAAATGAAGTCTCTATCTCTGCACAATATTTTGTGTTTTCAAAATGTTGAGAAAAAACAAATTGTTTAGCGACTTTATTACCTTGCCCGTCAGTGAGCCTTAAGATATCAAACTCAGGCATGGAATGTTCATCTACAACAACCACTTGGCTCGGATTCAGTTTCGTAAAAAAGGTCTGGATGTATTTTTTCTTTTCTGCTGTGGGGACAGTAACGAAAACATCACAATTCAAATTGCAGGCCACTGACAGAGCAGCTATACCAATATCAGTCTGTCCATCACAGATTAACACTCGTGATCCTGCAGAAACGTTTCCTTCCAAGATCAGAGCCTTGATAGCTATCCCATAAGCCCATAATGTACAGGAAGCCTCTTGCAAAGACCAATCTTCTGGTACATCAGCTAAAAACTTTTTCTTTACAACTGCAACTGTTGCCACTGCCTGAAAATATTGCATATATTCTAAACTTGAGAGGATAAATCTAATAAGTTTGCCTGAACAAATAAATAAAACATGCTCCTACATGTACCTCAAAATACCTTTTAGCAAAAGTAGAAGTTTTTCAATGCATTTGACCAACTTGTCTATTATTAATTCCCTTGAGAAACTTTATCACAAATATAAATGTAGTCAATGCCTACTGGATGGTGTAGCCCAATGACCCTTCGTCCACTGCTGGCGATTCCTGCGAACTCGCTTCCCAGTCCTGGTCCTCTTTGGTTTTTGTATTGATCCTCTGTGTTCAGTGAAGCATAAAACACCTGGCACACCTCTGTCTCTTCTGTCTTGTTCTCTGGCTGCATTGGCAGCTCTCTCCACACAAAGCCCTTGCCAGACTGGGCTTGTGTCAAAAAACACCTATCACTCTTTTTGGGCACCCAATTTTCATTTGTGACTATAATGAAGATGAACATTAAAATAAGTTGCCAAAATACAGTTTTTAAAAATATAAGCACACTTTATATAAACACAATAGAGAAGGCTTTTCATTGTATTCACTACTTTACCTGGAACATGTCTATAAGAACCCCATTTTCCTTTTCTCATTATGTTCATTACCAAATCTTTACTCCTCAATTTCTCTGGCACCTTAGTAAGAGTTGAACTGTGATCCATGTTGTAAATGCACCTAATCATCATAAAATACATGCAAATAATAGTGTTTACAATATAAAAAAAAAAATAAATTCCTTCAAACCTCTTCATTGACGTGTACTTACCGCACTCTCTCCCCTCCTGGCTCTTTCCTCAGACAGTTGACCATTCCCACAATGCCAGAAGGCTCCAGTGAATCAGTAGTCAGCCATAAATTAAATCCACAGGATTTCTCTTGAATGGCTGCTACTTCTTCTTTCAGACTGCTAAGCCATGAGCTATGTGAGCCACTTACCGATAAAAATTTTCCCTCAACATCTTGACACGTCTTTCTGAGCAAGAAAGTGGTAATCAACAGACAATCACTCTTTTTAGCAACAAGACAAAAACCACTCTTCTCAAACAATTTCTCCCACTCTGTCTCAGACATGTATTGTGGTTCCCCTACAGGTTCTTTGGAGGTAGAATTAATGATGTCCAAAGTCTTTGGCAAAATTGCATTGTGGGTAATTTCAGTAAGCAATAGAAAGCCATTTTCTTTTATCACTTGATGAAGATTTGCTACTGCCTTTTCCACATTTTTCTGTTCATGCAAAATATCACTGACAATTACCAAATCATATTCCTCCTCTTTCACATGTTTCTCTCCAATATCCCACTGAATTGAATCAATCTCTGATGAGGTAATTTCAGACTCAATAATACTTTTCACTGAAGCACTAGCCACTGTGTAGCTGTAGTGTAGACCAGGGGAAACCTTCAGGTAATTCAGTACTTGTTTGTAAAGTCCTGCTTCAGCAATCTGTACCTCTAGAACTTTCAGATGATTTGCTGAGTTTTCTATTGCTACGTCAATGCATGTCTTCAAAGATCTTGCTTGCAAGTGATTTGACAATAGTCTGTCATTTAACAGATCAACTTTAAATGCAGAGAGAATATTCTTAACATTTGTCATAAATTTATCATTTTGGTCCACAGAATTCACCTTCAGTAATGTCTGTAGTAAAACACAGTTCTTCTTCTTCCTGAAAAACTGAATGTCTTCTTCCCTTTGCTTGATATCTACTTCCTTTGACTCTTCATTGCAGGAAGACAGAAAAGAATACTCCTGTGTCAACAATCCTTGATTTTGTAACTTCTTCAGCACCTGTTTCACTTGATCAACACAGAGTTGACAATATCTCTGCAGACTTGTCGAGACTAAGGCATCAGAACCCTCCTCTACGTACGGTACAAAAACATGCTCCTCTAGGACTGGGGGTTCACAGACCTTCCTGGAAGGTGCCCTCCTGGTGATCAAGCCCTGCATTTCTACTCCTCCAGAAACTGTGGTATCAGCATACTTATAAACTTTCACCAATACTCCTGAAAAGTTTTTCCAAGATGGTGATCAAAATTAACACATTCAAGTTTACTATTTGTTGTTTTTTCAAAACTAATTAAATAATGATTAATTCACTTTTTCTCTCTCAATGATCCCTCTCTAGCTAGATATTGAACTAATCTATTTACCACTTTTGTTTCCAGTAATGGGCAGGACTTTATTCTTGTGTTGCACTGGGTTGATCGACAAATACTTTACCCCAGTGGGGAGGATCAAATGATTCCCTGGCTGACTCAAAAGACTCATCTGCATGATGCTGTCAAGGAAAGCCACCCAGTTATTCTCCCATAACAGGTGCCCTTCTTCTCCTTCAATAAATTATGTATAAATAATAATGCAGACCTACATGTAACAAATATCTACCATCCACGCTTTTCAAAATCTTCATAATCAAAATATGCTATAAAACAACTACACAGTTAAACATATCTTATAGTGATCATGGTTATAATGAATTGACGGATAAAGCGATGTGATTTTCATTCCCTGTGGCTGTAAAATATATTGTTAACTTTACATAACGAATTATGCTTATAATGAAGCAAAATCGTTCATCCCTCTCACTTCAGCATGTTTTACTGTAATTGAAAACTGAATAAACAAAGAAAAGATAGAAATCAAAATATTTTACCATTTACTGTGGCTTTGAGTATTCCACAAAACTTGGGTCCATATTCATACCCTCTAAGTTTAAACTCCCTGTAGACTTCCTCCAATGTTAGTTCTGGGGTAACATTTTTTGTCTGTTTACTTGGTGACAGTACATACTCTGTTTCATCACTCAGTGTTGTAAGGGGCTTATAAGGGGTCTCCACCACCCCACTGGCCACCAAGGTCCCTCCCTCACAAACCTCAAACTCCCCAGTAGAAGGTATTAAAGAGACTGTAAACTTAATCACACCTATTAAGAGAAAAAACAATATTCTCTGGATGTATCTGGATTTTGAAATTTCATTAGGGTCCCTGTGCATCCTACACAACAAGGGAACAAACTGAAAATTTTAGTGTTAAGAAGTAATACCTATACATACCTATGGTAGGAAGAACAGTAGCCCTGTGTATACTGAAATTCTTAAACTCCACAGACATTCTATCATAGAGCAGTCCCTTTGATTTAGCCAGGATCTTCCAGCCCAGTACCAGATATCCTGTGGCTGGAAACAGAGCCCTGCCATCAATACAGTGATCCAACAGGAAGTGGTCTCTACTCTCGGTTGAGATGTCAATTTCAAATACAGCCTCTGTTTGCCGACCAGACTGCCCACTGAGAAAGTCCTCTGGCTGAGGAATCTGCCAGGAGGTGGAATGATCCCATCTGATGTAGGAAGAAAGGTTTGGGGTGTTTGAGGGGACAGGGAAGGTGGGAGGTTTAAACATCCCAAGAGGGTTGATGTTGATGCCACAGTTAAAGCACCTGCAAAGAATGACACAATCATTCTAAAAATTGTTTAACCATTATCAAAATTTTAGGCAATTTATAAAAAAAACTTTCATTTTTATCTTCAATCTCACCTCCCAATGTTAGACAAAAAGAAATCCAAATTATCCTCATGGTCTTTCTTCATAAGAGGTATGACTGTGCACTTTGACCCCAGCGACCTCTTCAGTACAGCTTGCAGCAGACAGTGAGGAGCTATCTCCAGGACAACAGCGCCATCTGGAATGTGTTTCAAAGCTTCCTGGAATAACACTGGGTGTGTCACATTGTTGGCAATGTACTCAGCAGATGACATCTGAGCAAGATCTGAAGACCACTCAGATTCTGGAATGGATGAACTTATCCACTTCTTGCTCCTCTTCTTTGGCACTATTACCTATATTCATTATACAACATCATATAGTTTTGTATTGAATTACAGTTAGACCTTTGTATCTTGAACTCTGAGGAACTGACCAAAACAAACTTGGAGATATGTTGATGTTTGGTACAATGAAGCTGAAACTCAAACTCAAATTTACATGCAGTAGTACCAATTAAACTCTCCTGACATATCCCTGGTATTCAACATATCAGTTTTCCAGATACAGACGTTCAACTTTAAAAGTTTCACATATATGTTGTCAAGCTAGAGCTCTGAAGGTTTTTTTTAAAATTCATTTTTGATATGATGGTGAAAACTTTTACATCCATTACCTTTTATGAAGAACTAAAATTACTACCTCTTTCAGTCTTTCTGTTATCAATGGAGCAACTTTCTCCATGAAGTAGGAGTGGAAAGCTACCCCAGAGCTGTTGACTTCCCTGGCAAACACCTCTCTTTCCTTCAAGCTCTTGACAAAATCATGCACATCCTTCAGTGGTCCAGAAATGGTGACCGTGTGCTCAGTGTTGTGACAAGCAGGAACCACTCCACAGGGACACTGCTCCTTGGCTTCTTTCCAAGTGAGACCTGTGAAGGTAATATTGCAAACAGCTGAGTGTGATATTCTGACAGGGGCTGACAAATCCCATTGCCCGACGCCCGGGGCTAGTGAATTTTAGAGGCGGACAAGTGAATTTTTAACAAGCGCTTGTCCGTGGGCAATTGACTTTAAAAAAAAATCAATCAATAAATATTTTTAAAAACGTATAGTTTTACACGAAATCGAAATTATTTTGTTGTAAGAGTTTTCTTCCTTTGCTTGTCACACTTCGTATGTGAACCAATTTAATTGTGTCATCATGTCATTACAAGTTTTTAGTACATGTATTTGTACTTAATTGAAAGAGACAAGTTGGCATTGGAGAAATGGAGAACGTTTTGACAGTTATGTGGTAGAAAACGATCAAAAGCTGATGATAACTACATTGTCCATAACTACCATCTAGGCATACATGTACCAAGTATGAAAAAAGAAAAACAACGGTCGGAAACAATTATTTTTAACAAATAGCAGGTATCATGACTTTAGCTGATATATGATAGTGACACATATTGTACGTCTCTATATGAGTGGAAAATTCTTGAACAGGACATAAAACAACATACAATCAATCAATCAACAGATTGTATGGTACTTAGTACAAATTTACTGGCAGGTGGTTTTAAATGTCGCCAATATTCAAAACAACACATTCCAAGTTGCAAAATTGTTCGTTTTGGTAACAAATCAATTCATAATGATGAATATAAAGTGCTGGATAGTACACAACAATAAAAGAATTAAAGGAAGTAGTTTTGTTGTTTTAAATGAAATCGAAATTATTTTGTCATAAGTGTTATCTTTAATTTATAGTTTACGGTGGGGCAAGTAAAAAATGAAGTAGGGCAAGTGAAATTTGACCATGCACTTGCCCGTGGGCAAGTGCTTTAAAAATCTATTTGTCAGCCTCTGATTCTGAGGAGTAAAAATTCCTTATTTTTAGGTCACCTGAGTCACTCGTGATCAACTGCTTTCTGTTTTGTCTGTCATTGTGTGTCATTTGTCATCAGCCGTCCGCTGAACATTTTCAGCTTCTTATACAGAACAGTGCATCAAATTCCAACCAATTTTGGTATATGGCATTTATGGGTAAAGGCGAACACAAATTAAGAATTTTGCTTATCATAACCATGCACTTATGGATCCTTTACAGGGTTATACCATACTCAGATGACCATAATGGCCCGTAGGTCTCTTCCTTCATTATTTTCATTCTGAACACTCGTTACAATGACAGATACAGTCCAGAAGACAGTGCAAGTTAGATTATTTTTTCATGAGATTAAGTATTACAATTGTAGTGGAAAGAAGTCGCATATTTAACATTTAAATCCAAATTTCATCTCCCACCTTCCCTCTCTGCCATCTCCAAGCAACCCCATTACCAACAGCTGCCTCAGTTTCCCCACCCCACAACAAGCTTAATACATTATGGAGCTTAAATCTTACCAACTGCTGCCATTCCACCTGTGGGGAGGTCTGACTCCAAAATACACCTCCCTCTCCAGTAAGCAGCTAGCAAAGTCTCCTCGGCAGTGAGGGACCCATCAGCATAACCACACCCCAGCTCCCCCACAGAGTGACCCACTATTCCATCTGGCTCCAAACCAATGCTTCTCAACATGTCCACAATGGCTATCTTTTAAAAGACTGCATTTTTCAACAATGGTAAAAAAAACAGTTCCTTCTTTACATCATTTTGCCAAAGTCAAATTCAAAAAACTTTCCATATTCTATAGTTGAGACACGACTCAACCCTAAATTCCAGAAAGCAATCTGCCTTGTCTAAACAAGCATTCATTGACTTTATACTGTAGATTCCTAATTATAGGCAAGGAATTTATTATTGCATTACTTTGGGTGAAGAACAACTTGCAAAATAAAATTACTTTCACTTATATTTTGCTGAGATATGGTACAGTGTATATTTAAACTCTTGATCAACAGTTCCCTTATGAATTAATGTTCTCATCATTTTGACATCTACTAGTCACTTTGCAATATCAAGTACTCGTATAATATACACCTATTTACTGGCTATGAGGACAATAGCAAGTTTATCGTTCCCCAAGACAGCAACTATTGATATCAGTAAATAATTGCTGTCGAGGGGAACGATAAACTTGCTATTGTCCGAATAGTCAGTAAATAAGTGTTTTATTATACCAAAGCAGTCTTTACTTGTGTTACGTCACAATCTGTATAAAACCAGAAGAGTTCCGAGATGAAAAGTGAGGGAAACAGAATGCTGCCGGTGAATAGTTTAATGACTATTTCACCAGGGGCAAATAGCACAAAAACTATTCCACGGTAGGGGCTGTTTGGAAAATATAGCATGTTTATTCGTAATATTTTTATATAGAAAAAATCACAGAGGTATAATATAACAAGGATATTCAACAGTACATGCATTAATTAAAGAGAATTTATCATTTTATTAGTATGAGACTAAACATCATTCATAAAATAGTTTTTCTGTGCTTTGTGTGGTGAATGTTTATATATAAAATTATACCAAAGGAAATCTTAATGTTTAATTTACCTGGATGGAAGTGATCCCAAGAAAAGAATTCAGACATTTGTCATAGATACTATCTCCACCTTTCATGATGACGTCATAGAGAGATACTCCGTGACGTTGTAGAATGGAGTCACAATTCATAATAGACTGCTTGAAGATATTCATTTGCATCATTTTTCTCCCCATTGAGGGCCACTGTGATCCCATACCAGAGAAAATGTACCAGAGTGGTCTGTTTGTGTCCAAACACTTCTGTGATGACGAAAAAAAAAAATATCTAAGGATTTCTTCACACCAGTCTATATAATTTAATGTCATCAGGGACAATTAATAGTCTTAAAAATGTTAAATAGAAGACAGAAAATGTAACGTAAAGAAATTCAGCAAAAATTTATACAATCATTATCTATATCAGCTAGAATTAAATTTAAAGAATACACAACTTGTAAGAGATTTATTTTTGTCAACTATATTTCTCTTCTGATCATTCTAAAGGCTTTATTCATAGAGCCCCTAAATAAGCCTTTAACTTGGTCACTCACAGTTCAATGCGATACACTTTTTAGACTTCTAGTGTACATTTATCCTGCATTGTCACTTTGAAATACTTTATAACTAACATGCTTCTGCCAGTAAAAAAAAAATAACCACAGAAATGTGACATCAACTTTTAGGTCAGTGCAATGCAAACAAACAGATGTAAAATGCAATAAAATGTAAACAAATTAAGATTATCAACACTCGTCATCCATTCCTTTAAAAGCAGCCAGAAAACAATTCAAATACGAAGGGTATAACCTAGTGCTGATAATGGAGATAGAAAAACTAGTATGGGTATTTACAAGTCATGTTCAGCTCTACGCTTCATTCCACATTGGATAAGTTATTCCGGATCAACTTAACCTATATTATCTTAACCCACAATCCTTGTCAAGTCCACCGCATTTCTTAATGCTTTACTATAATATGAAGTTGACTTCACTGTCATTCTGTTTTAACACACAATATGATTATGAGTTAATTTAATTAGGGCTGGGTATTGGTTGAAGTTTTTGTATTGCAATATATTGTGATATTTGGAACTGTATTGCAATATTTTTAATAACAGTTAAAATGCTCTTTTCTTATTTTATTAACCTCCATTTATAAGCAAAGTGTATAAAACTTTTATAAATACGTTGTAGCCAAAAAGTTCTAGTTGATTTCACTATAGTTTGGTAAGGAAATGCAACCATACAACAGAAACCTTTACCGTTTGGTACTGTCTGGCATGATTGAAAATGTTTGACATCTTAAATTTCATATTTTTCTTCATCTGATCAATCTAAAGCCAAATCGTTTTGCCGGTATATCGGTACTGGAAAAACGTATCGCAATACAATATTTTTTGTTAATGAATTGCAATATACCTGAATATCAATATTATTGCGCAGCCCTAAATTTAATGCAGTGTGCATGCTAAGTGAATTTAATTCATATTTACCTGAACAGGTAAATTCTGTACTTTGGAGTCCCCTTAAAATTAAATCGGAAGTTTTTATTTCCTTACCTGTACTTCTTGACATTTCAGCATTGAATTCAGTATGGTGAAACCTCTGAACTGATGCTGGACTGGAGGAGATTTGGAATTCTCATTCAGCAGGCTATGAAGAGCTAAATTTGCCAAGTTTTTTTCTATGTGTCCTAATATTGATCTAATTCCATGTTCTGTAGTAGCAGAAAAAACAGCCAACCTTTTCTCCCTTGATTTTTCAACATGAGAGGGATTTTGCGTAAAGTCGAGTATGCAGTGACCATTCAAATGTCCCATTCCATAACAGTTGACACCTACAATTGCAGGTGACCATCTAGTTCTCTCAGTGAGGTAATTTATTTGTCCATCTGAGAGAGCTGGAATTAAAATGCTAGGGGAGTTGACATGAAGATTCGCAGGCATCATCCCATCTTGAGCTGCTAGCAACACTTTGAGAATAGAGACTAGGCCTAAAGTAAAAGGAAACTTAGATGCAGAAAAACAGTGGTGAAATTCATTTAGGGAAATAGAATATTTTCTCCCCAAATTATGACTTTTATACCTCATTAAGAATGCCAAACATAATGAAACAATGCACAGAGCTTGTTGAAAAACAAAGCTAGTCCTAAAGTTCAATTTTTTTTTCAGGATTAAGACAAACATTTTTAAAAATTTAAAAGATGTTTCAACCCTGGTAAAAAGAGTTCATCTGGTGTTAATACACTGCATGATTCTAAATATTTCAAAACTACTATAAAAATTTCTAATTTCATACGTAAAATTAAACGAACAAATTTTAAGTACAACTGTACTTTACCTGATGCAGTTTCTGTGTCTCCGACATTTGTCTTGACAGAACCAATCATCAGAGGTTTTTCCCTGTTTCTGCAGAATATGTCTGCTACACTGTTCACTTCCTGTGCATCCGCCTTAATATTACAACTGCCATTGATTTCAACGTAGCTCACTTTAGTTGGATCAACGTTAGCTTTTTCATAAACTTCCTTTAAAAGCTTCGTCTCCTCTTCGTGTGATGGGTAATATGGTTCTTCAAGAAAATGAAGTCTGAATATGACAGTTTGATGTTAATTCAGCCAACTAAATTGAAATTAGAATACTTTAGCAGACATCCATTAAAAACACAATGACTCAATTCTCATTAATCTGTCACCTTTTGTAATTTAGAATCATGGGGGTGTAATGAATTTGAAGAATTATTTTGCATCTTTAGGGAAACAGAGTTACCGTTTGTTTGTACCATAAATTTATCACTGTTTTTAAAAAAAAAAACCCAGAGTTACCATTCTTGGGAATTAATCATTTAGCTTCTCAAGAAGCGGTAGCAAATTCAGAACATCTAATTTTTAATTAGATTGACGTTAACCCAAGACTAAATATACCTGTGCTTGAATCAAATTGAAATGGCAGCATACCAATCTGACTCGGTCTTGATACTCTGAGAAGAATTTAAAAGAATTGTCTTTACTTTTTAAAAAAAAAAATATCATATTCCTTTGAAAAACTTTTTACTCAACTTGTGGCCCCACCCTAGCACAGGGGCTAGTAGTTCTTGGGGGAAAAAAACTATCAAATCAGTTCCTTTCCTGTTTTTATCATTGAGTAAGTACCCTCTCTCCTTGGAAAGAAACACAACCCTTCATTTGAATAAAAAAAATTCCCTTAGTCACCCAAGGATGTTTTATGCCAATTCAGTTTGGTAGGAATTAAACCGAAGACCTCCAAAATATTTATAAAAAAATTAAGATATATACAGATAAACACACTATAGAAAAGAGTTCAATCAGAAAAGTTCACATGAGCCTTTGGCTCAGGTGAGTTCAAAATAAATGAAACACCCACTTTTCATGGAGGAACATTTGAGGCATCTTAAGGTGGAGTAGATTCTTTTGGCAGACCTGCGCTTCTGAAGCAACATGACAACCACCCCATCACTTCTATTTGTACCACAACCTGAGGAGAAATTAACAAAAAAATTTATCTTGCATATTAAAAAATTAGGTAACATCATTAAAAGAGTATGGATTGAGACAGTGACAGAAACTATGAGGCTTAAATCTGCAACAAAAAAAATCTTTGGAATTCTTTAAATTCATATCTTATAAAAGTATAAAAGATATTTAAATTAAAGAACTTTTGGGATATTGCTAATAACTAGACTCTTAACTCTTTTAATTAAAACAAACTTTTGCCTTAAACTTCATTTTTTTTTTTAAAATATCATAAAATTCCCATTTCACCGGTACTTACTGTTGGCATCACAACAACAGCATCTTCCATCAGGAGACAACAAGTCTAGCATCATCAACTGGAAGGAAGTGGCCACTTTCATACACAGATTACAGGCTCCAACAACAGCGGCATCACACTGACCCTGTTGTATGCTTGCGAGAGCCCTATCTAGTGCCAAAAAACTGGTTCCACTTCCATTTCTGAAGGCATAACTAGGACCTGAAATTCAATATACCTCAAATATGACTGCACATCCAATGCATACCAAAGGACGTACATATTCAAAGTTAAAAGACCTCAAAATTCTACAAATTTACCTTTCAAGTCAAAAGCATAAGAAATCCTGTTGGCAAGCATGCTGGAACTGGATCCTATGGGAGCATAAGCATTGACATGATCTGGATCACTGACATATGCTTCCAATGCTTCAGACAGTCCACATCCAATGAAAACAGCTGTGTTAGAACCCCTCATCACTTCAGTACTCACTCCTAAACATGGGAACAATTTAATTTTTATTTCATTTTTTTATACCTAGGTTCATTCTTTTTACTAAATCATTTACAATTCAAGTTTTTACTTATTTAAACAAATTTAGGAATGAAGTGATAGAAAGTACTTAGACTCTGTTGGAATGTATTAAAATGAACTTTTCTATTTCAATAATGCCAGTTTAATTGTGAAAACTAATACATGTAATAAACTCACATTTTTATGCCCCTGTATCAAAGATTCGGGGGTACATAGTTTTTGCCCTGTCCGTCCATCTGTCTGTCTGTTTGTCCACAAAAACTTTAACTTGCCCATAACTTTTGATTGGTTTAAACTATGGATTTCATCTTTCACGTGTATTTCTTGTGACAAGATTTTTCTTTGGGTATCACCATATTTGACCTTTTGATCTTGACCTTGGAATTTGACCCAATTTTGCAAAATTTTACCAAACTTTAACCTTGGCCATAACTTTTGAACTATTGGGTCTAGGGCTTTCATACTTCACAAGTGTAATCCTTGTGACAAAACCTTTCTTTGGATAACAACAACTTTGACCCTTTGACCTTGGAGTTTGACCTACTTTTGAATACTTTTAACCTTGGCCATAACTTTTGAATGGTTGGTGCTAGGGCTTTCATACTTCACATGTGTAATCCGTGTGACAAGACTTTTCTTTGGATACCAACAATTTGACCCTTTGACCTTGGAGTTTGACCTACTTTTGGCAAACTTTAACCTTGGCCATAACTTTTGAATGGTTGGTGCTAGGGCTTTCATACTTCACATGTGTAATCCTTGTGACAAGACCTTTCTTTGGATACCAACAACTTTGACCCTTTGACCTTGGAGTTTGACCTACTTTTGGAAAAATTTAACCTTGGTCATAACTTTTGAACGATTAGTGCTTCGGCATTCATATTTCACCTGTATATTTCTTGGGAGAAGGCCTTTCCTTGGGCACCATTAATTTTGACCATTTGACCTTGACCTTGATGTTTGACATACTTTTGAAATAACTTCAACCTTTTCCATATCTACAATGGTTGCTGCTAGGGCTCTCATATTTCACAGGTTTATTCCTTGAGACAAGACCTTACTTTGGGTACCAACATATTTGATTTGCATTTGAGAAAGTTTAACCATCGCTATAAGTTGCCATACGGGGGCATCAGTGTTTCACAAACACATCTTGTTTTTTAAGTTTTAAATTTTGTAGCTATACATATGTACATATATTGCCAATAGATATATTATTAACTGAATTTATTTGATCCTGCAAATGGTACATTCTCTTTTAATTAGCATTTATAAGATTATCTTACCAGCATCAACAAATGCTTCATATGTAATCTCCAGCAACATCCTTAACTGGGGGTCCATAACATTAGCCAGTTTGGGAGGGATTCCAAAAAACCCAGCATCAAATCTGGTCAAATCTCTGATGGTGCCACCAAATGGAGGAGCTGTGTTGTGGTTTAAAATTAAAACAGTACCCCTGAACTTTCATGTCTTCAATAGGTACTGAGATACTGTGATATGATTCAAATGGCAGAAATAAACTGTGTAAATTATCTAGAATTAGTAAGGGGTAATTTTTTTTTTATCAGACTGTTCCAAAAGAAACCCTTGGGTAACAATGCTCAGTCACCCTATCAAAGGTTGAAAAAAAAATCAGGAAAGCCTTTCCCTATGAATTGTGTTTCTACAATTGGGCTAACTCAATTCTCATTAACTCACAGATATTTTGGGCCAATTTTAGTTTGGTTTCAAACTCTGGTTCAGCAAAAGCCAAAAAAGACAAGTTTTCAGGCTGAAAATCTCACTTGAGGGTACAACTCAGGTGACCTATTTACATGTTTGTAAGGTGTCCCTGTCGTGCATGCTAAGCAATTTTCTGCCAAAAAAGTACCAAATACATACAAATAATAAAGAAATATCTGGTGCATTTTTTTTTATTTAGCTGCAAATCTTGAATTTCTCCTGCATCTTTATTAAGCTATAAAGAACAGTTTGACTTTACTAAAACATATTAAATGTTTAATTTAAAAAATGAGAGTAGACTTAAATCTGTTCCTTGAATTAACTTAGAACATTCTACATATATTCTGTCAACAAAGTAAGACTCTGAATATCCTGAATGAAATGCTAATGTAAGAGAAAACCTTTTCGAATAGCCAAATAAAGCAATAATTTATTATTAAGCGCAATGTTTATATATGCATTATACCAATATCTTCTGCATTCCTTGTGTGGGTGACCATATTCTGTCCTTTTATCAGATTATTTCGGAATTCCTCCACATTATCCGACTCGGGGAGGCGACAGGAGACCCCCGAAATCACGATCGAGTCCCCCTCCTCCTCCATGCTTATAAGTTACCTCGTTGTTATAAGATTCTCTGAAAGTAATGACAGAATATATTCTGAAATTCTTAAATAAAATAATTGGGTCCATGGATGCCGGCTATTTCGGACTACCCGTAGACATAGCGTTATAAAACTAATAGACACTGTGCAAAATAATCAAGTTTTAGAAAAAAATTGTGATTTGGTCTTTTCTTCGAAAGGATTTTATGCATATTCTTAAGATCAGTGCTATATAATTGAAATTAAAAACTATAATTATTTTTTTTATCATGAAATACACTTACCTTCCATAAGCAACTGAGTAGTCTAATTTAGCCGGGAAATCACTCGTGCGTGAATACGTCTGCTACCCATTCTGTGAGGTGCCATCTGGGGGCTTTTTACCGTTTGGGATTGTAAGAGTCTTGTTGACCCGCGATGACAAAATATATTTGACATTGATTCTTGAGTCGAAGATTGGTTGGTCTGTGAAAGAAAAAAATGTAAGTAGTCAAAATAACTGATTTAGTGAATAGAGAATTAAGGACCCTCTATACACCGATGAAAAATGTTTTTTGGACTTTGAGAAAATTGTATAGCGTAAAGGAGGTTATTTTGAAATTAATTAACCCATTTTTAATATAGGGAGCTTGCCTTTTTTATTAAGGAAAAATCTTCAAAGACAATGAAGTAATAATGAAGAAAAATTGCCTTTGCTTACTCAAATGGATAAAATACATGTAAATAAAGTTTTCAAATGCTCTATTTTGGTCTAATAAAATGTTTAGAATACTTGGATTTATTTCAAATTATGTAATACAGTTCAGATTACAATTTATTCTATCCATATCAAATGGTGGGTCAGTCTAATTACACAAAAGTACCCTGAAAATAGGGTGCAGTGTAGAGAGGGTCCTTAAATTTCTTATATTTTCATCGAAATTTCGGAAACGTTTTTTTTACACATTTTCTCGGAAATGTCCTGGCTCTGAGGCCATATAACTTAGACAAGCTCACTTTTGATCTCAGTCTCACTTTTCCACTGTATATTCCTTTTGTAAAAGTGAGACCGAGATCAAAAGTGAGCTCGTTTAAGTTTTATGGCCCCGGAGCCTGGACCCTCAAATTATACTACTTCATATATTATTTTCGTATTCTCCTCTCGCTTTGAAAAGGCACTTTTTTTTTTTTTACTGATCTTCTACCTGATTTCTCTTTACACAATTTGCATGAGGGTCATCCACTTCTCCTCTCTTTCCACGGGCATTTATTTTGTTTCTCTTTCCACATGCTCTTATTTTGTATAAGGGTCAGCTACCTCATTTCTCTTTCCACAGGCACTTATATCGTATATCATCTACCTCATATTTTTTCCACAGACACTTATTTTGTATACGTATCATCCACCTCATATTTTTTCTACAGGCACTAATTTTGTATACGGGTCATCTACCTTTTCTTTCTTTCCACAAGCACTTATTTAAAATAAGTTATTTTGTATATGGGTCATTCAACTCTCCTCTCTTTCCACAGGCATACACAGGTACTTGTGGACAGGACCCCCCCCCCCCATATACCCCACGGGTCAAAAATATTTTTCTGTATTTTTTTCATAAATTATTCTTCTAGTACACATTTACAATGTATTCCATAAGAAAAATCCAAAAAAATAACGCAGAATTAACGTTTTACTAAAAAATCATACCCGCGGTGTCATAAAATAGCTCTATTTTGTAATACCGCGGGTAAGATTTTTTAGTAAAACGTTAATATTGCGTTATTTTTTTTGGATTTTTCTTATGGAATACATCGTAAATGTGTACTAGAAGAATAATTTATGAAAAAAAAATACATAAAAATATTTTTGACCCGTGGGGTATACATGTATTCGGGGGGAGGGGGGATCCTGTCCACAAGTACCTGTGCTCGCAGTTTCTTTTAGTTACTTGAAAAGTTCCGATATGCCTTGGGGAACTGGAATCTTGCCGACTCCCTGTATGATATACTTTAAGTGTATAATGATACCCAGGCGATAGTCAAGGCCTATTGGCATCTTGTGTTCAATGAAAAGGTAAATCATGAAAAAGATACCCCGTTTAACTTACTACTCTCTCTCATATCGTGCTTTTCAGTGTGTGTAGATATTTATAAAGTTCGCCGACAGGATGCGCTGGTGTCATGTTCTAAATTTCGTATAAATTTACCGGGTGGGAGTCACTACAAAATTTAGAACATGACACAATAGACCTTAAAACAGTTGATTTTGATGCTTTTTGTGTGCAAATATTCTTTGCTCATGAGTGCGAATCTTCTTTATTGATTACGTCAATGAAAAGGGGAAATTTATTCACTCTAAATCCCATTGCAGCATATTTCTATAAGCCATGACATACACCACTGAATTATTTTTTGAAAAGAAAAACTCATTTTATGCCCTAAGCGCAAAAATCCATTCAATAGTTGATGATCAGGCAAGACACTTTTTTAAGTACCACCAGAATTTTGCTATGTGTGATAAGCTTAGAACTACTTGGAAAAAATCTATAAATAAACTCGTTCAACATTTCAATCATATTTTAATTCAACAATAAAATGATTCAACAGTTCATCAAAGTTGTGAAGAAATAGTCAATTCACAATAAATTCTGACGCCGTAAGGACCTGCGAAGAAACTGTCCAGCAGACTGCATTTCAATCCTGAAAAAGAGCATATAAAAAAACTTAGTTCGGTGATAATAATTATCTTGTGGGATAGTGAAATCAGAAAGTCTTTAACCTTGCCCTGTTATTGAGGATTCTGCATATTACATCAGTGAATTTTAAAAAAAAATAAAATAAAAATTCTTTCTAAATTTTCTTACTTTCTAGACAGTCCAGTTGTGTAGATATTGATCCACATGGACAGTGCTTTGGATCGTTTTTCCAATTCCTTCAGTGTTTGCTCTGAAAATGAATACAAACAGCTATTGAAATGAGTCGTATATGTATAATTAATAAATGATAAATTTCTCAAACTTTAAAAAAAATCTATTTTTAACTGTTAATTACCTTTTTCTTTTCTCTGTTCTCCAATAGCTTTGAATTCGACACTGATCTTCCATTTCAACTGTTCGTTTTCTGCAAAAGGGAGTAAAAATACATGTATTTAGACCAACAGATAAAAAAAAAACAGAGAACAAATGTTATAAATGATTAAGATGCAGAGTTAATAATAACCTTCTGCTAGACTGGCTACTGTCTTGTGCATCACATCAATGCGCCCCCGGAAGTCAAGGACCATCCAAACAAGTGACACACACAAAGCCATGAAGGAAAAGAATGCAGACAGACGAATGATGCCTTTAGAAGAAATGGAAGATAGAATGTCTCTAACAAGAAAGAGTTCCTGAACCGACATAGAAAGAGCCTTCTGAACAAAGTCCAAGCCGAATCCGACGAGAGATGAAACACTGCTGACAGTGTCACCATAGCAACTATAAACACATGCTGAAACTCTGATGGCATTATCACTGAACTGAACTGACAGTGTCTCCACATAGTTCAGGATGTCAATAAACAACGAGCGAGTGTTTGAGGAGAAAGTGAGAGCGAAAGTGGAGAGAGAGTCCAAGGCACATACACTGCTGGTGGCGAGAGAGGCCGAGAAATTGAAGACCATCTCATCGACACTGAACAGCGTTTGCTGAGAAAAAGAGAGAAGAAGGAATTAGAGAACACAGGATAGGAGGATGCCATAATGCAAGAGGACATATTGACAACGGTCTATTTTTACTTACCGAAATGTGCAAAGTGGCTTGCGTGGTCATATTCCACATGCCCTGTACAAATCTAAAATAAATTAAAATCAAAGTACTGAAAGTACTATTACGAGTTGATGGTATTGATTATATAATGTTAAAATCAGTTGAGGTCTCTAGTCCATATATGGATTATGTGATATTATGTGCAATGATGAAAACTATCACTTAATCTTTTCTTTTTGTTTTCTTTGAGAAATAAAATTGTATCATTTTATTTCCACCTTTTCTATCGTGCATTTTTAATGTATTTTATTTTTTTTTAATATCTACTGGAATGTATAAAATTTATCACAAATCGATCCTTTAAATATAGAAAACAAATACAATGTAATACTAATTCAGGCGCGGATCCAGGAATTTTTTCCAGGGGGGGGGGGGTCCACCCCAGTGAAAAAAATTTCCAACCCAAAAATTTCTTGACATGCCAAAAAAAAAAAAAAAAAAAAAAAAAAAAAAAAAAAAAAAAAAAACAACCCCCCCCCCCTAAAATCCATTTCCAAAACGTGAAAAACACCTATTTCGTGGTAGTGGGGTCCATGTTTTCAAGGGGGGGGGGTCCAATGTCATTTTATTTTGCTTCAGTATATACTTTTAGTAACTCTGCAAATTCCAGGAAGGTTCGGACCCCCCCCCCCTTCTAGATTCGCGCATGTAATTAGTTGTAGGATTTTTTGTAAAATGACAATGTAGCTTGCATTTAAAGTAATTTGTATTTTTACAAAATATTAAAGGATACTACCATCATTGAAATGGTCACAGAGCACAGAATATCATCATTAAAACTACCGGGAACATTTTTTGGGCACTCAATATCATTTGACAGAAATATTATATATCAAGTGACTAGAAATTTCATATAGGGAAAAATGGCACAACTGTTGTATAAAATCATATTGCAGAACTAAAACAACTCCTAAATAGACAAAAACAAGAAAAAGCTTTAAACACACATATCTCAAACTAACTGGCAAAATCTACAATAGTATTACAAGTAGAGAATTATTACTCACAAATAGCACAAATTAAATTATTTCATTAACATGTTCATTGAACATTTTCACTGCTTTCTTAAATTGACAAACAATTTGACATTTTCAATGCACATCAATATATTCCAATTCTCGTGATTAAGCCAGTCTTAAAATTCATATCTTTTACTTTCATTTAAATGTATATTACATAATTCAATTTTCTTCATTTAGTTACTATTGAAATTCAACTCCTTGTCTTTCAAAATTTACATGCACGTATTATAATTCAATTTTCTTGATTTAGCCACTCTTGATATTCAGCACCCTGTCTTTTATGATCATTGATATGCACAATAAATATTTTAATTATCTTAACTTGATATAGCTACTCTTGAAATTCAACTTCTTGACTTTAACTGAAATGAACATTTAAAATGTCATTTCGTTGGTTTAGTCACTCTTGAAATAAATATAACTACTTGACTTTAATTGATACATGCACATTTTATACATCATTTCTCTCGGTTTAGCCTTTCTTGAAATTCAACTACTTCACTTTCATTGATACATGTATGCACGTTTGATAT